AAAAATGAACTTCTTCAGAGCTCCCTGCCACGTAAGCATCCCAAACACGCAAATAGGTCTTAGAGCCATCAGCTATGTCACCAACATTGCGTTTTCCTAGACCTCTCCGAAGTCTGCAATCTTTGCCCAGAACTGCACGGACAAACATGGGCAGACACAACACGTCCTTTCAAACGCCTCCCTCTAGTGCAGCGGGCCCCACTCCTGGGCTGCTCTTCCAGTACAACCTATGTAAAAGTAAACGTTATGCCTCTGACTAGACATACCCCTAATCAACAGCACTTTTGCTTATAGGAGCTCCCTTGCCAAAAAGTGGCATAGAGTAGTCAAAGTAAAGGCCACGTTTTCTTCTCAATTCCTAATTGTGCATATGTGCTTAGATTTCAACTCTAGAAGGGAGAGAAAAGCAATGCTTCACTATCAACAGAGATGGACTGCTAAGAAAAAAGGAGAAAAAAACCCTTTATATTATTCAGTCTATATACACTCAAGAACAACACTCACTTGAATGGTTTCAGTCCCCAAGACAAGAAACAAAACTACATCCCCAAATGCACGACTCCTAGAAACCAGCCTATTTTCCACACCTAGCACAGGCAGGCAGTCCAAACAAGCGCAATGGGCACTTAAATTTCATTCTAGTAGATTATTCCACTGTAGCAATCATTACACTAGAAACTTATTGGGGACAGCTGCAACTCTTTTAGCAGCTAAAAACACATATGCTTAAGTAAATTAAATCGCATTTGGTAATAGAATAAATTAAAAATGACAGATGTCATTTTCAAGCAAAATTAGCGTTTAAGTAAACCTTCAAACAGACACAAACTATAACTATAGTTAGAACTTTAGAATATAACCAATGCTGTGCAGAGGGACATGACATTCAATTTTTGCTTAGAGAAATTCTATTTCACTAGTGTTAAAACATTCCGACTTTTTCTTCTTTATTCAAAATGAATAAATCCACCAAATCAACACTACCGAAATCAGGGAGCACTTCACACAACAAACTGCATGAGTAACAAAGGGAGTGATGGACTCTTACTCTATTAATAGACTTTATGAACTCACTTTAAGAGAACCATTTTTATTCCAGGGTTGTAAGCAGCTAGAATAAAGAAAATCAAATTCTTACGTAAGGCCAAGGTATGAAACAGAACCAAGTGGAAAGAAATTCTAATTTGAGATTAAAGCTTTTCATTTGAAAAAAAAAAAGAAAAAAAAAAAGGTTCTTCACCATCATCAGGAATTTTTTTTTAATATATTTTTCGCCTCCACAAAAAAGAAGGTAGATCTTTATAAACCTACATTATTAGCACACTACTGTTACGTATGTTTAGGGGAGGGTGCTTTTTATTTGTGTTTTTTTATTTTCACTGAAACTTGGCACCTGGTGTCCACTTTGACTAAATAATAAACATCTCATAGTAATATACGAAGCTTCTAGTCACTCACAACTGATTTTTTTTTTTAAATGTAGTATCTCTTAACTGATTGACAATGCAACATTTCTGCCTCATAACTCTATTAGAAACTTCCTTAAGAAAAGGACGTTTTCTCCAACGACTTTCCAGGAAGTAAGAGCCAAATGAACACTAGAGATGAGTGCACATAGAAAACTGGACCCTTATTTGCAATTATTTTGTAAAGAGAAAAGAAATATCAGTTGCACAATAGGTGTTGTTTCTCTAACATTAGATGCTTGACTTTTCAGCATGATTCATTGAAGGAAATGCATGTTTAAACAAACAAGGAACATACTCATCAGAAATCTCAATGTTGAGCTTCTGTTTGGTTTGGCTGAGAGTAGTGCGGTAGAGTTTAGTGGCCATTTCAATAAGATGATCGCTGCTGAACAGGAAATCCCCTTTACTAGCTGCTCCTGAACCCTGAAAAGGAAAGCCAAGTAGTTAGAACTGCCAAAACCTAACACGTGCAAAATATTACGTGGTGATGAAGCAGTAGGTTTTACAAGGAGTCTTCCTGCTGCAATCAAACAGCGATCTTTTGTCTCGTAAATTAAATAGGGATGCAGTGCAGTGCTGAGACGCAAAATGCAATGCACTCCTTAATGAACTTCCAACCTGCTGAGAGAAGTTACAAACAAGTTATAAACCCCGCCTGACCCAAAAGAAGGCCACCTTCAGACGTCCCACAAAACGGTACTATTTCTGTCTCCCTCTGCTGGCTGCAATCACAGCCACTCACAGTAATTTCAGAAAGAAACGGAAACCAATTAACACCGCCAACATTAGGATGAAGGTGTTCAACATGAAAAGATATTGCACATGGCATTTTTCAAATCCATTTAAAAAAAGGAAACAAATGTCAGCTTAATGATTTTAACAGAGCATTTCCGACAGAAGCAGATACAGCACTACACTAAGTTTGTTAGAACTGGGTAACCAAACGAGCTATGCCACAACGTGGATTTCCTGGGATTCCATAAAGAACAAAGTAGTACGCTGCCAGCGTGTCAGGGAGAGCTATACAAGCAGCTAAAGAGGGAAACACTGTCACAAAGCACCAAGAACAGATTAAAGGGCCATTTTTACTAATGGAAAACTCTGATCCTGAAGAGGCCACAGCAGAAAACGAAGAGTGATTTTCGCAGTAAGTTATCATTCCTGATGTAAGAACTGTACGCATTTGGCTTCAGTAGTTTTAAATCCAAGTGTTTGAAGACATGGCAAAGGTCAATAATAGTGCCCTAAACCTACAGGGCTAACCCCATTCATTTAACGCTACAAGATAATTAATAACCAATCTTTGTATTGCTGCATGTGCATTTATAATAAAGCAGTAAACTTACCTCCTTGAGGTGCACTGCAAAGAAACCATCATTTTGGGAGCTCATGGACACTTTAGTAACATCTCCCAGTGGAACCTCTGACTTGATATTTCCAGACTTTTGATCCGCAAGGAGAACGTTATTTTTGGTTAGTAAGAAAATCCTAGATGCAGCCTGCAAAAATAAAAAATGCAAATCATTATCTGCACAAAGAGAGAACTGGCCTTTACGGAGGACACTAGGAGGACAAATAGTTCATACAGTTAATAAGCTTGGCCCACATTAGTAAACATGAACATCTAAAGTTCAGTAAAAGCTGCAGATCAGTGAAAATTAGGTCAAATTTATTTATGTGTCTAATTATAGATTGAGGAGCTTAGCTCATTTTGGCACATATGCTTACATATAAACAGTTTCTTTAATTACTGGTTTACAGTTACAAAATCCAGAAACTGAAACGCAGAAAGTCTGCAAACCAGGACGACCCTCACTTCTCGTGCTCTGTCGAGCTCCAGGATAACCAACGCGCCTTTTCAGTGACAGCTAATTCAGGACTACGCCTCACATATTTACCGTTATTCACCTAAACTGCACGGTTCTGCAACAAACTGCTTAGGTATTTTCAACGCTATGTTCTCCTCCCTTCATCTATCAGAATTATTCTTTCCACGAATACATATTTATATTTTCAAATGACAAATATTGCTAAAGAATTTCTTGGTACATTCACTTTTGAAAATAATTTTAAAAATCTAAATTTCAAAAGAGAACAATCTCTTGTTACAAGTTTTTATACACATAAAAGTTTTGTTACAAGTTTTTAAACACATAAGAAATGACTTCTTAAAGGACTATCAGATTTTTTTCAAGCAAAAATACATTTTAAAGAATATTTAAAATGAACTTTCAGATAGGACAACGTATGTTAGGTGTAAACCTAGTATAAAATATCATGGTAATTCAATAAAATAGCTTTTTTGCTTTTTCCCTGTAGAATTTTAAAGAAAAAAAAATTTAACTATTGTAGTATAAACTTGGCTCTCTTAAGCACACAGACCACAGCTCATTAAGATAATTTCTTTCCTAAAAAAATCTTGACAGCTATAGCCCATGCAAGTACAGGAAAGATATTGTCTTCATTTAATTAGTTTCTTCTAAACTGAAAAATTAATTTGGCAGCCTAATTGCACTCCTACAATGCATAAATGACATCTACATCTGAGAAGCTGAGATCTGCTAGTTCTAACATTTAGATGGATAACGGTGACAAATTTACTAAAAGAGGATAATACTTCCAGTTTTAATAAATGCAAAACAAGCCCTATGCTTGAGGGGGAAAAAAAGTACCTAGCGTATTTAACAGCTTTATTTAAATGATGAAAGAAAATTGTTTTTTCCTTCCAAAAAGCTTATGATATCTACCAGAAGATGACAGGCACAGCTAATAAAGTATTTCACTCAAAATTTTCTAACATAATAAGATGTGATAATCAAGAGTCTGAAAGACAAAGACTAAGTTTTCCAAATACTTGAACGAGAACAACATTTTCTAAATATTTACTTTCCAATTGGCAAACAGTAGAACCAAGTTTAGTACAAAGACTACACTTAGTTGTGAATCAACATAGCCTGTTACCAGTTGATGAGAAGCCATTTTTGTTTGGAAAAGTTACTGCAAAAAAACCCAAACAAGATTTTAATAATCTTTGTCCAAATTTAATATGGGTGCTTTAAATCACCAATTTACATAAATCGAACATTTCTAAGCTTGCTATTAAAAAAAGACTTAAAAAAAATCCTCAGACTACTGCATGACAGAAATTAAATCTCATTTTAATTATAACAAAAAATGATCGACCCTTCTGGATAAAGCAATGCTATTTTATTACCTTCCCGTTAGCTCTATTGATTTTATTCACAACCTCAGCAATAATGATCTTCTCATCCACAGCATCTTTAAGTTTTTTGTACTTGGGGTTCTTGCTGATTTCCAGATAAGCCCCTTGGAACGGCTGCCCAACGCTGCCAAAGAACAGAGGAGGAACAGGAGTTAAATGTGAACCTCGGAGCAGAAGTAAACCTCCTGAAATAGTAACGTACTAGTTTAAGCTCTGTGGAACCAAAAGCAGTCCCAGATCCGATTCTCAGTAATTCTATTCTGACAGAAGCTTCCTTAAACTTTGCCACACCATCGCCCAGGGAAAGTCATTAGCTGCCTCATGTTCACCAAAAGAGTACTCTAAACAACCCAGAAACCTCTATTCATGATTTGTACCCATTTTACACCATAGCAACCCCAAATAATATGCTATTTTATGACACAACAAGTAGGGCAACACACAATTTAATGCAAACAGAACTCTTAACATGGTGCTTATCTGTGCAATATATTGTCCTTTACCCTGCTAAGGACCTACGAACTGCAGCTCCCTGAGTCAGGCTGGTGCTGTCGTTAATTCAGCGCAGTTGTCTAAGCATTAATCTGTGCTGTGCAGGCATACTAGGTCACTTGAAAATAACTTGGGGAATTCTATGAAGTACTGTGCATGTACCTCCCCTAGCACATTACGCCAGGGAAAGGAAGGAAGGAGGAGGAGGTGGGGTACTACACAGTATGTGTATTAGACACCGAACCTTGTACACGTTAATAGTGCAATACTGGGGAATAATGAGAAATTTCTAACTGAAGTCTGTAATAGGATTTTTTTTTTTCCTGCTCTGGAGATATTTTCAAATTAAATGGGCCAAATTGCTATGGATATCAAACAAATAAATCCTTGTATACACAATCAATTTTGATTTAAAATCACTCAAGAGCAGTCTCTGTGAAAACAGAGGAAATGCATCTTCACTAAGACCAACAGCTCTGCTTTTTTGCAGTATTTCATATAGCAACAGACAACAACTTGCTTGTCTGTTAATGCTTGTTAAACGTGGACCAGCTCATCAAGGCTTTTTGCACTTGTAATTTACCCCATCTTTATCCAACTCAGGTTTACAATAACAGCTTCGCTATCAGTTAAGAGTTGGTGAATATAGTTGTTGAATATATTTTGTCTGGAAGTCACTTTAAGTAATCATTTTGATTGAATTACAGTCAAAGTACTAAATGCAAAGCTTTGTCAAGACTAGACCCCAAAAGGAACCAACATATTATGTGGAATAGCACTGCCTTGATAATTGCATCTCTGGCCCACAGGGAGATGCGAGAGAAAAAGGAAGGGTACTGGTATTTCAGTACACAAGAGAAGTCCCTATGTGTTCTTAAACAATTACATTACATGCAGAAAATTAGCTAACTCCTATGAATCATTATCATACTAACTAATCAGAAACGTTATACAACAATTTCCTTTACCCGTAGACCAATAAAAACATAACAGTAGCTAATCAGCTCTGAAAAAAGTTTATAAGAGAAAAAGAGAGAAAAATGTTTCTAAAACAGTGAAGGGTGGGAAAAGTATTCTAACTTTCTACTAATTTGGTGTGAAAAAACAACAAAACACACAAACATCCAAGCAGAGCTTGTCTACACATGCAATTGCCCTCATCGACTGTTTCTAATTACTGTTCCTCCCTCTACTGAGCCTTGTTCCAGAACAGTGCCTTATTCCTGCTCAGCTCAAACTGTGGCATCTAAAAAAAAATACTCCAGAGATTGATGAGGCCTTTGTTTTCAAGGAAAATAGAATTTCTAAGTTCATATTCAATCAGAAATTTCAATTTAACTTCTTTCACAGGCATCAGAACCCTACTTTGTCAGTTTAACTACACGCAAAAAGTATGCATGTTGTTTAAGCTGCTGCAATTTCTTAAGCAATGCTAACTCTGCAGATAGCAACAACAATAATTTATCAGTTTTTAGGTATTCAATAATCTGAGAAATAAAAAAAACTTATTTGTAGAGATATTTCACATTTTACAAAAGTCTTCAATTAAAAAGAAATTTAATGGAAATAAACTCTTGAGCAATTTTTATAAAGTATCTCTTCCAAAAAAGGTATACATGAGCATATGCAACTGTTAACTTACCTATTCTTTGCATTCAACCATGATGTGCAATGTACTGAATTTGAACATAAGAGAGCTCCCTGGCACTGCCTCATGTCTGAGTGACATTGTCACTTACAGTCTTTCAGTTTGCTCTACATTTATTGGTTGCAGAAACTGGTGCGGTGGAAACTTGGGGAAAGGACGAGCTATTCCTCTCTACAAGTTCTCAGACTTACTATGCAAACAGGTCACAGGGGTTTAGAACAGCAAAACATCCTGATTTTTGGACAGAAGTGCTCAGCATCGCACGATTAGAAGTCTGCAACTTAACATCTAATTTAGAAGAAAACTGAGGTCAATTTCTAGGAATGTAAAGTAAAACCATGGAGAAACTGTTGTTTAGCAAGCCAATAACCCACGCAGTAAAATATTCCTAAGAATTGAGACTCCTCAAACCAGGGGATACGCTGTACTGCTTAAGATAAAATGCAAAGTCTTACTTAATTTCCTTAATCTATGCAAGGGTATTGAACTTATTGTACATTAAAAGCAGCACCACAGAAGACATCATTACCTGGCTGGATATAAAGCCTTTTTATCCTTGAAAAGTTCACTTGCTTCCAGTTTTTCTTCATATATAAGCTTCTGTTGATCTGTGAACTGGTCTCTGTACTTTTTACACTACAAAACATGATATGTTAAACAAACCATAAATTATCTTTCAAAATCTGATTTGAAGCAGCAGCACTCCAGATTGCTATTTGCTTATTGCTCAAGATGCACATTCTTAGTATACTTCTGAAGTGACTCAGCTCCATCCTACATGCCGCTGTAGCATAGCAACAAATGGCAGGGGTGTTTTTCCTCTTCACCCATTCTACATACTTCTGAATTACACAGAGAACAATCTGTAAAATATCTCATTTAAACATATTTCATTTAGCATGTATTAGTCATAATCTAAATCTATCAGATTCTAGTCACTTCCATACTTTGCTAAAAAAGTTCAAAGAAACATATAGATCCATAGTTGTGGAACTTTATGTAAGCAGACATAAAGAACAAAACATAGCTGGGAGAATGAATTTTGCAAGTTCAAAAATTAAAAAAAAAAAAAAAAAGTTCTTTTACAATTCACAGAAAACACAGCCCACAGAATCAGTAAAACGTCCCATCAGCACTTCTATAGATTCTCACCATTCCCTCCATCCAAAGATCCAAAACAAACTTCAGCTAACCACAGTTCATAAATAAAAAATTCCACTGAGTACTTCCAGTATCGGTCTAAGACCTACTGCCATAGACACAAACATTATAAGTCACCAAATAACAGGCAACACGCATACTAGCTTAATATTAAATTAAAAGCTGATGGCAGGAAACATTTTTCCCTAAACCCAGAAAGGAATAGGTAGTATAGCCATATCCCTTGAAGGCCAAAGACAGTGATCAAAAGAAACAGTTCTTCCAAAGAAATAAAATTGTCCTGGCTAGAACAGGAAGAAATACTTCCTAAAAATAGACTCTTCATGAACAAAATAAAGCTATTGAAAAATGATGTGATCAAGTTCTGTATAGACTTGACCAGAATGTACCCTACCCTCCACAAATGGAAAATCCTCTTTAGTTCCTTGTGAGTTGAATCCAAGAAAAGGTAAGGTCTTGCTGGCCAGTTCTTATCTATTGGTGATAAAGAAGGCATCTTACTCTTCATTTCCAAGAAGTATTTTTGCATCTGTGATAAAGTTAAAGCAATATGTTTTATTAATCTTCAAATACCACAGCTACTGAAATAAGCAAGAAAAAGCAGACGCTCTGTCATTAAAAGCACAGTAACCAAACCACAACCCTCAGCTTCAAGAAACCTCAACATGAATCAATAAAGCCAAGTATATTGAGAAATTCAGATATAATAAAGAGTTTGATAAATGCTTAGTTAGTGCCATTCCCATACCTTCAACACACAATACTATTCCTTCTTTATAACATCAGAGCATTTAGAGTTGTCCGTTTTCCATTTACTAAACTTGGACTTTTATTTACAAAGACTAATAGGGCCTTTATGTAGATATTATTTTTGCTAGAAAATAGATTTTTAAAACACAAATAATGTACGCACACATTGTATGGATATATACATACAATTCTCTGAAGGATAAATTCATAAATTTTTCTTCCAGCATTGGCTCTGAAGAATTTCCTGTACTCCCTGCGGACCTGAAAAAATGAAACAAATCCTCAAAGTGAATAGAAGGAATCGACTTGTTTTCATGGGTATTTTTTTTTTTTTAAATAAAGCTCTATGGCAGAAAATACTAAAAAAAAAAAAGTATGTGAATGTGCAAAGTGCTCCCCGAAAGTAGAACACTAACTGGGTATGCCTAAAACGTATGAACCAGACCATGGTCCAAAAGGTCAAAAAGTTACCTCAGGTGACCTGAGTACATATTTAACAGATAATTTTAAATTTTTTTCCTCTGAAAAGGCAAAATATTCAAATATTATTGACCTCACTTCATTCTGAGACTGATCTTCCCACGTTTTGGCAATAAGTTGGACTGCAAAATTGGGGTATCATCAGTGATGATAATTGCAGCGACTTAAAAATCAGCGACTTATTGCATCTGAAGTGACACTAAACTCATATGTTAATTATATAGTTACCAGCTGCATTACTTCTTTCTGATTTTTTTTTCTTTCAAGATTCTTACTACACAGAGTTAACTATAACAAAAAAAGGGATTTTTGTCAGAGCAAACTTATGTATGAAAAAAAATTGTTTCGCACAAGCAGCCTTCCAAAAGGAAAACAAGTTTTTCGTGTTTGATAAGAGCAGAGTATTAACACATATGTTGCTTAATGTCAGTGAGCTTGATATTTGCTACTGAAGCTTATCCAAAAATCATAAAAGTGATCACTGAGAACCAGCTTTATAGGTGATTCTACTTTTGTATACATTCTTGTACACACAGCTTTCAGAGTATTTCTTCTGCCCTTGGTATTTCTAGCAGTGCTACTTAGTGTAGTAGCTAAATTCCTCCTCTGAGAAAGCCCAGTCTGCGAGAACGCACAGGTGGTTTGGAGTTTCACGAGAAGCCCAAGCTCACATCAACTGAGCTGAAACATCCTCCAGCCTTTCTCAAACCTTGGCATAGCCTGGAAGACACCTGTTAAAAGTTCTGAGCAGAAACCAGAAAAAACATCGTGGCTTTGCATAATTTACCCCAGACCAAATTTAGTGGTTTTCGCTAACTTGTTATGTGTTGTTGAGTTCACTGGAATGAAAAAAAAAAAAAAAGTTGAAATCCATAGAGTAAAAATCCACATCAGCTTGGAACAAAAAGTTCACTTGGCTTATCCTGGCACACCTTCCACCCCCTACTGCGATGTACTGCCATACATCTAAAATAAGCCAGCATTTTGAAAACAAGAATCTGTAACCATTCTGGAAAAAAAATCACAAATAAACGGGCTTTAACTGTACATTCAGATGCATCAACCAAATTGACAGCACTCAGCCTCTTCGTTCTGTGCAAATACTAAAAGAACTTTTTCCTCCTTGCTTTGTAAGGAAAATTATTTGACTTCTCACACACTGAATATCTGTAAGGTTTAGTGCTAGTTAGTGTATACCCCTTATTTATTATTCTGTGATGGAAATTAACACGCTCAGACCTACTCCAGCCACAGTCATCCCCCGTCTCCCCAGTCCTCACAGGCTCTCTTTAATGATGCTGCTTTATATTATTCTTCAGGAACTGCAACGTATGCACATTGACTGGGAACAAAGGGACTAATATAAACCCACACTGGCGCTGCAGGGAGGCCAGAAAGCAAGCACTGAGATATGCAAGTTGTTCCAGAAAAGCCTAAATCTGGAAAGTACTATGAATACTATTAAAACCTATTTATAACACAATCAAAAGATAAATGAAGAATTAATGGTTTAATCTTCATCACTTCTTTTAACTTTAAATCTTCATCTCTGTATGCCCTGGGTGAAAATATCTTGTCAATCGGGCAAACCAGAGTTGTCTAAGCTAACCGGGGCATACAGGCAGGCTCTTGCCATAGAGCTGCAGACTATGTTCTTATTCAGAAAAATCTGTGTGTTTCATTTGAGAGAAAAGTGCCACTTAGGCGATTAAAAAAATATACTGAAAAGCCCCAGCACAGACAGACAAAAACATATTCCTGCAGTAATATCGTGCAGTAATGTGTCTTAAAGGTTTTGGATTCATCAGCTTTCATTTAAATGCTGTTATTTGATATACAACAGTCTCTGAGTTCTCAGGAGGGACATATTCTTGTTTTAAAGTCATGAAACTAGACCCACTTTGGCAGTAGTACCTAAAGTGTGATTCTGATCTGCAGAATGACTTCTTAAAATGGCTCCTTTATGGCTCCCACTCTGTTTTCTGTTTTTTTATGATATATTTTTAGACAGACCGTATAATTGTATATAAAATTATATCTTTTGTAAATATTTATCCCACTTTATGATTAGAACAAGTACAAGAACATGAGAGCTAGACTTTCCTCTGCATTATCAAGTTAATTGTTCCCTTTTGTATTTCTGTAGTCTACAATATCCCTATTAGCAGAAGCGACACCCAAGCCAAACCAAACTGATTTAGAAATCTGCAGTTCTTCAGGACTGCTTTTGTTAAATTATGGTTGAAAACCTACAAAATGAGCAGACTGTATTATGTAAATCATTCAGGCATTCACCCGAAATGTCTCACGATGCCATTTGCATAGTCTACCCACAGAGCAGAACTACATTTTTACAGATTACAGATGTGTTTTCTATTGCTGACCAATCCTTGAAAGCAAGGGAAATAAACCAAAAGAGTCACTACTGATCGCTCTACTTTTCTAGGAAGCCACGGCTACCAGAAGCTATAGGTAACTGCACTCAATACCATGTCCTGAAGAGGCTTGATGAAAACGACAGTACGTTACTACTAGCTTTAGACCATGCCCTAGACCCTGGGGTGAGGGGGGTCTCACATGAGCAGCAGTAAGAGTCAAACAGTTCCCCCCTGCTTCCCATTCAAACAAGCAGAGGTCACAATAAGAAAATACATGCTTGTAATCTTTACAGATAGGATCTTTGCCAAGGTAGGTCAAATTTTAAGTCAACAACCATAACAGTCTCTCTCTGATCTGACGTTTGTCTCTCACTTGAAAATGAAAACTCCTGATATGACAAAAATAGCTAATGTCTAAATACTGCTGTATATTGAGGCATTTTCAGCTTACAAATTTTTTCAGGAAAGTCCATGACATAACAAAGCAATTTAATCTTGTGTCAAAGCATGCTTAGTAGTCACCCCACCCAAGTGCTGGTTTATTAAGTGTTAGTAAGATGCAACGCTTTATTGAGTTCATGTTGTCAGAAGGGAGTGTTTGAGAAAGTACCTTCAGTCCAAGCCAGTAAGCCCAAATGACTGCAACAGCATGCTTGCGCCTAGCCTCCTCCTTCAAGCGTTTCAATTCCCTTCGAGCCTAAAAGGTTTAGATAGTGAACAAAAGAGATAGCCCGATGCAGACAGCACAATGACCAGGAAAAGGCTTCTCCCAAACAGAACAGCCAACTTACAATTAAGATATAGAAAGATGAAAGAACAGTGTTTAACCTTTAAAACTGAATATGTCAGTGTGAAAATGGTGTGAAGCCACGAAGGAGGGCAATAAAGGCCCCCACTGCTGCTTAAATGACAGGTAAAGATAAGATTTTTGCCAGCCCCATTATTTGTGACCAATGTTTGCATCTTATCTGCCATGCATGCCTTGCAATCAGTGCTAAGTGTAACTCCCTTCTCACTGATAACTTTCCCCGCAATCACGTGATCAAAACAATGTGTATGAAAATCAAGACGTACTAAAACCTTACTTATCTAGTCAATTCTTCTACTGACAAGTGCTTGGACATACCAGAAACAACTCTGAAATTGTATATGTAGTGATGAATCACTGGCACTGCGTTGAGGACTTTTATTCTGGAGGGTTTTTTTTTAAATTTTGATTTTTATACATATTAAGTAAAACTCTCCACCTTGGTAAATTATCTTCTTCTCTATGGAATGATGGGGCAAAGCCTCTAAACATAGTACCTTCCTCACACACAAACAAAGAGATAAGCACCCACCTTCCTTTCATCAATAATTCTCATTTTAGGAAAGCAAAGTATCCTAAATACAAGCATGTATGGGCAACTTAACAGAATCTCACATTTTAGACTATACCAATACATTTGTTATTCAATTATTTGATGACAAAAATCAAGTAAAATAAAGAGTTCCAGTAGTATAGCCTCAGACACTCACAGTAGCTTTTGCAATGTAACTGCAGCTGCCAAGTTATATGTCAAATAGACTTGGGCAAGAGCGTTTCCAGTCTAGGCCCATGATGCTTTTTGCACATGTTTCTGATGTAGCTAGAAAGGTTAATTTGCATTAGATCTAGACTCTCAAAGAGTATGTTTTCACTCATTTGTATGGAACAAAAGTTCCATTAACACAGCATTTTAATAACAGGGATCGTGCATAGCCAAGTATTTGCCTGCTGTGTGAAAAGGAAGGAAACTGAGTACTTGAGCTCTGTAACTCAGCAATCTCTGAAGGTAACGTTCAGAAACTTTTGTTTTAAATATTCTCGTAGAAAAACATAGAACATGATGCCATTAGTAAGCTTCATCTTCTATCGGGTACTTTTCAGGAGTAAGTAGAGGAAAATATTTCAGGAAAATACGGCATTTTTTCATGAAGCTCCTGTGAGCCAACTGATAAAAACAACTACTAAAAAAAAAAATCCAAATCTACTAAATATTTAAACGAAGGGCTCTAATACAGAACTAACACTATAGCACTACTTTCTGATCTTGTCCCTTTTAACCTAAAGGCTATTATAATCCTAAGAAAATAAATATCTCTTCTGAAGAATTGGGCTTTTGTGGGGGGGGGGGTGAAAGGAACTCTAGTTAAAAATAAATTATCAATTTACTGCATTAAAAGAAAGGGAGAGGAAACAATGTCTATACCAACTTATACAGATACCTAAAGACCAAGCTAGAGCATAAAAGATGCAAGTCTCTTGTGTCAGGGAAATTCCGTACATGTTTATTTTTTGATTCCCAGGGCTGCCATTTAATTACGGATCTAATAGATTTATATCCAAATAGCAAAGGTCAAACTCAGCATTGTACTTTAGATGTAATCTGAGCGCATTTCTTCATCTAGTTTGCAAGGTGTTCTGATAAGAAACACCCCCACCCCAAGACCCAAATAGTAATAGGACAATGTTTAAAACTTAACAGATTTACTGAATATGTTTTCCATCTAAGTTAAGAATTTATTAATTGAAACCATAAAATGTTGATCTCTAGTGAACAGCATTTCAAATGTTCACATAACCCGCAACTGCAGGATGGGGATTAGCAAGAATCTTTCAGTGGGACTTTGCTTCTGAAAACAAACAGCTGATGCTGGAATTCCTGGGATTTTTCTAGGGCCATAACTTTAGAATTGCAAGCTAACATAATTTTCTTCTAAAAAAAAATCAGGTCATAAAGCCATACTTTACTCGCAGTTACTCAAATTTTCTTAATGGTTCAAATCACAACCAGAGAATCAATTAGGCTGATTAAAACTAAAGACTTAGTAAAATAATAGCATTGCTTTGAACTTTTAAATAAAGACTGTCCAGGGTGCAGAACATACAGCTTCATGAAAACCTCAGTTAGATCTCTAAGACAGTGTCACTGAAAGCACTTGTTAGGAAAAAAGAACCAAAATGAAAAACAACCCCCATGCCCCCTCAAAAAACATGCCTTGCAGATTTACATGTAGTTAAATGCATTTCCTAATTTGAGAATACTGTAGTCTAATCATTTTTAATCTAGTCTAACGGCTTGTTAGTGCAAATCACTATTTCACTGCCATGCAACAAACTTCCTACTCTACAAAAAAATGACATACAGAATGTTTTCAGACAATTATTAAGTGTTGCATGAATGAAAATGGAAGGAATCAATGATCATGCTCTACTGTTTTTAAGTCAATTGTATTAGTCATTCATTCTCACTATTTACTACTGATTAAATGTTGATATTGTTGGGTAATGAAGGGAGGCATGTGACATGTGCATGAAGTACCTTATATCCAAGCCAGTAAGCCCAAATAACAGCAATAGCATGTTTATTTCTAGCCTCCTCCTTCAGTCGTCTCAGTTCCCTTCGCGCCTGTGATGCATTTGAAAATGGGATATAGAAAAGCTTAGGGAAGAAAAGGTTACTGCAAGTTCCCGATGGTTGAAGAAAGAAGGAAAGAAACCAGTCACTACAAACAGCAAATACGAAAGCGTGTCCCAGCTCCCCAGATTACACCAGCTGAAACATGTTAGCAGCAAAGAGAAATAAAAATTCAGCAGTTTAAGCAATTAAAAATATTCCCAGATAACTTCATCCTGAAGGGTCTTTTTCATTCCATGTAGAAACAATCAATAATCAAATGCAGAGGTGTTTTTTGCCATTTTCTTACCTGGGTACCATGCCAATATGCAGCAATTGTTGTGGCAGCCTCATTACAACGCTTCTGATGCTTAAGTTCTCGAAGAAGTTTCCGAGCCTGTGACCAATTGAAAAATATTTTATTCTACAAATCACCATAATTTCCTAGTGATTTTAAACTGTAAGCTGCAAGTCTAAGGAAAATCAAAACACAGTGCCTCCAAATCCCCAAAGAAACTCATAAATGCTATGCAGCCTAACATTCTCCGTTCCAGACAGGGCACGGCGCGCAAGCGAGAGCTTGGGATTGGAAACTGAGGAGATCTTAGGCCAACATTTAGTTCTCTCCCATGTCCACTGGATGACCCAAGATATCTATACATCTAGTCTACCTGTACAGTGGCAACAATACATTTCCGGCACACAGCAGATGTCTCATCCATTTAGATTGCAATAAACCACAAGTAAATTCCATGGCTGAGGGTGACACTTCAAGGCTTCTGGCATGTTGGACTTTTATCCATGGCAGTGCTACCCCAGAAGAACGTGTCCTCCATTCACAAACAAGAAACCATAATTCGGGATGAGATGATGCTTTTACCTAGCTTTCCTCAAATAATGCTCATGGGAAAAGACAGCACCTCAACCATTAAATTACCAGGATATTTTTAATCAATTTAAGCAAAAGTTATAAAGACAGAACATAAAACTCGAGGAAAAATAGTAAAATCAAATTAGGCCCACTCTTTTTTTTTTTTTTTTTTTTTTTTTTTTTTTTTTTTTTTTTACAAAGTTTAAATCCTTTTGGGAATAGAGGACTGTTTACACCTATAGATGATAACCGCAGCCTCCCCCTATCTGAGAACAACAGACCAGACTGCAGAATTAAAGGCAGTTCTCTGTTCCCTAAGTAGAGGTGAAAGTTTCATTGAGTGGGGCAGAGAAAGGTTAATAAGAAAATAGAAGAGCCCGGAGACATGTTTTCTGTTGTTGCACAGCATTAGTTGCTTTAAGCACTGTAGCTGCTCTCCTGTGAGCTGTTAACCTCATTTTCATCTCTTATTATAGCATCAATCCTGAAGCCTCTGTTACGGCTACAGGATTCTCCCTTCATGCAGTACACACAACTCAGAGAAAAAGACAAGTTGTAGCAAATGTAGGCAGAGGACAAGCAAGCAACACTAAGGTAGTTGTTCACCACCAGCGGAGTATAGCAGCTTCAGACCTCCACTTAGCATACAGAGAAGACTGAACTTGAGAAAAGTACTGCCCAGGTGACCCAAAGTCTTCGTTTTATACCTGCTTTCCGTTTTGTCCATTCTTTGAGAATTCTATTAGACCATAAAATGACTGCCAACTATAAGTCATTCCTTCCCAAAAAGTCCAAGATTACAGTTTTCACCAGTCCAATGACAAGAGCCCTAGGCAATCCCAGTACAGAGGTGTCCACGCTTGTTGGGTAGCGCATAGCTAGGTCTGCTTAGAACACTAGACTCGCGCGTTCTCATGCAAATCCTGAAGCCCATGCCAAGAGGGCAGTTCTTTCCAAGCTCTCTGGCAGAAGATACCCCAAGGACAGTCCAATAGTTTAGTACGGTCCCAACCTCCCACTCACACAGTTTGGGTGGATATATAGCCCAGGCTACAAGCAGAAATCCCAAGTTCACATTTTCTATGGCAGAGAGTAGAGATTAACAATAGCTATAGCACAGCCACAGCTCAAGGAACAGCAGATGTTTTCTCATCTGCTCCGTGCCTCACACTACAGACAGCCACAGTAACAGCAAACTCACCTTCCACCCTCTGATGTATGACTGTACTATAATAGCTGAACTCTTTATCTTCTGGTACTTTTTCTGTTGCTGTGTTGAAAATAAATATATGATACTCAGAACAGAATATTAGCACTGTGAAATAGTGTATAATAAGATATTCATTACTAACATTTGAAAATATAATTAAAGATACAAGCAATAAATGTAAAATGTGAACAACTTTCGAAAAAGCTGATGAGAGCGTGGATTCTGTGTTTAACTCAAAGAAACAAAACACGTCAACAATGCTATGTGGACAATATCACTCTGTTTAAAGAAACACCAAGGTCATAGTCAGCAGCACAAAATTACTTGGATTAAATGCTAACAGTAACAGCTTTATTTCTCTTTCCCAACAACCAAGTAGCACTCAAACTCACAAACGCTCAAGTTTGTCGGTTACGCTTTTCATGGTCTTTCTGTATGACGTAGGTTGTTCCTGTTACCTGCAGTTACCAAACGCTGATGGTAACTTAGGAGAAGAAAAAAAAACCCATGGATTCCTGTATACAATGCTAGAATGTTCTCCAAGCATGCCAATTTGGACAATAAATTTCCTGGACAGCTGCAAATTTTCCTTCCAAGAAGCTCTTTTATCCAGTAGGCCAGCAGTGAGTAGACTACCATGTGGACAACAGCTGACAGACTTAAAACTAAGGCTTTTAGGCTTAACACTCAACTCACCACTCAATTACAGAGAGCATCTCTGTAAGTGAGCTAGAAAGACTCCCCTCTAGGCCACATCAAGTGCAGAAACCATTTCACATCATGATCGATGCAGGTCATGTCTTGTGAGGGAACAGATAAGCAAGAGCCTGCAGATCCTTTAGGCAAGCCTCCAGGGCAAGGAGTTGTCAAAAACCTTTGCTCATGCAAAGCACACACATTCCTTATCATACTTTGGAAATCCCAGCGCCTAAAAGTCATGCTGGTTTAAGAGACTGGTGCCTTCTTCCATCCACATGAGGAGGCCCAGCAATTATCTCCATCTTCACCCATAATTAATTCTGAGGACTTGCTACATCGTCAGATTGCGTTCAAAGAAAATCGCTGCCATGTTTTACCAGTGAACCAATATAGACCTATAGCTAAGAAATCAACAATGTGAATTTGGTCACATATTTGTTTTCAGTTCCTTATGTCAAAAGATGTTCCAAAACAGCTGTGGTAACTCCATTTTTAATTCATTAAGACTATATGAGATAGTAATGAAGAAACATGGCTGCAATGCAATTTCATAATAATGCTGTTTCAAGAAGCATTGTGCATTCAATCACATAAAGTCATAGTGAAGAGTTTTACAGTGTAAAAAACATTCATTCTCTGATGTAAATAACCATACTTTTTCCTAATTATTCATATTTTTCTCTAATTATCCAAGATAACCAAATCAAACCCTAATGGCTTTCAAGATGACACACAGAAGTGCCTGTCAACTGAAAAACAGTAATTGTCAATTCTGCAACTTCCAGTTTAAGGAGATGCTTTTTTCCATATCATGCAATATTTTATCAAGCTTTCTGATATGCACACAAAGCTTTCAATAGTAAGGAAATGCTTTGATAGTAAGGAAATGCACCTAAGACATCTGAGAATTTTTTTAAAACTTAAACTCAATAAATCTTGTTTATCATGTAAGGCAATGTTTTTCACTAACTGATGAAAGCACACAAAAAGTCGTTATGTCAGTAACGTTCAGTTCATAATAACTCAGAAGACCCAGACTACAAAGAGATTTGAAACTGTTTTAACTGTATTAGCAAGAACTACTGAACTATGATTCTTATGAACCATAATTAAAATAAATCCCTGGGATCCTCCCAAGCACTTTTGAGCCTCATATGCAAAGGTTCCAAATAAGGCAAAAAACACAAAAGGCCTTACAAATGACTGAATGTCATGGAATCACACGTGTATATTAGAGAACCTTTATACACATCAACCTTATGTTCTGAGAACACTGTAAATGCCAGACGGCACTGCATTTGGTTTAGCTGAATGAAAGAGCCTCTCCCCAGCAGGGCCACAAAATCCTACTCTCCCAGACCTAAAGGACTCTAGTGAGCTTTTCAGTCATTTGAGCACAAAGTAAACACTTAATAGTGGTCCACAGAAACTCTTTTTTTTTTTTTTTGTGCACACTTTTGGTGCTTACATGCTAATATAAAATTGAATTCCTTTAACACTTCTCATACATATCAAGGAAGTAAATGAAAATCTTTATTAAACAATAAAAAGAATCCCCATTTAGTAAGGATAATATCTTACTGCATATCTCCTGTACCAGGAGGCAATCACAATCTGGCTTTTTTTCATTAACAAGAAGCGTGTGCGGCACTTCCAACCTCTATAAATCTTCTGAATTAGAGTGGCCAAGTCCTCCAACCGCTGCTTTCTCAGATCTTCTAGTTTGAAGAGCTGGGTGAATATTGTAGGTTTTTGTTTGATGTTAAGAGAAAAATAGCAGGGGAGAAAAGATCATAAAAATATAAGCATAAACATAAATAAATATTTTAATTAATAACATAAATTTTTTAAGAGAAATCTCTCCTTTACTCAATTCCCTCTTCAGATACCTTTTAGTTTATTCACCTCCCCAGCTGTACGCAGATACATGTGCAGGATTTGAGGAAGATATGCTGCCACAATTCAGTGCACGTAGATTACACTAAATTCAGGCTGACAAGTACTGTATAGTCTTGATTGCCTTTAAGTTTCATCAGTGTTGAGTCACACCAATTTTAATGGATCTAACATTAAACAGCGTCTTTTTTAGTGCTATATTCCACACTACTATATTAAAGCACTGTATCTAGAAAAATCTGTAGTAACTAGCTAGGGAATTGTGCAGTTCATAACAGTCTATCCTCACGCAAGATAGCTTGATTTTGCAGGGAAGACATTTTTCACTTACTGTTCTTGGGTTGCGGATGAATATCTTTGATCTACCAAACGAAAATTCTTCTTCAGGGATTTCCAATTCATTAAACAGTACCTCTACACCAGCCCTAATAAGAAGAAAATAAGCTTAACAAATATGAGCCCAGCTCTAAGACTTCTTAGTTTACATATTCACAGATTAATTTATGGAGTATATGAAAGAACATTTTAAATTCTTAAGTAGTGCTTGACATAAGAAGATTGAAAATCTAGCTCATTTACTCACTGGTTATTTAGCTAAAGGCAAGAATGATCACTGTAAAGATTCAGAATAATTTGATGAAAAAGGAGTAATTTTCATTTAGCAGCCTCAGCAGTGGCCTACTTCTCTCTTACATCTGTAATACTTTTACTTAAAAAAAGGGAAGGGTTCTCACATGAGCATCAAAATGCAAAACAAAGACTGATGAGTTAGACAAATGCTAATGTTCTACGCTCTACCAACTGCATTTTATAAATGTTTATGAAAAACAAAAGAGAGGAAATGGAAAGTCCTTCATGAATGAAAGATCTGCTGTAGTTATCAATACTGCATTTCTACCTTTCTATCTTGATAACTTAAAAATTTAAATTGTAGCTAAAGAGATTAATCTACTATGAAACAAATTAGCAATGTAATTCAAATCATGTTTATGGATGACCACATGTAAAAAGAATTAGGAAAAGCACATTTGCCTAACCAGGAAGTCACCCATAAAAATACATACAATTCTAGCTAACGCTGTGCAATTTAAAACCATATCGTTAATATAATCGATTTGTCAGAGGTGTTATCTCATAGTTGTTCAGTAATCTTTATCTAAAATTATTATTAAAAGGTCAGAGGAAGATTTTATGACTGTCTTCAAAGGAATAGGTGCTACTATACTTAGAAAGCTGGTTATTAAAGATAAACGTCCTTCTGATCATTCCAGATTACCTAGCCATTTTCATTCCACTTCAGTCCCTCTCTCAGGCCCAGATCAGTAAAGGATGCAAAATATTTTAAGAACAATGTCCTTTCATTGCTCACATGCAAAGCCTGCTTCATTAGTTGATTAGTTCATCACTAAAATCACCTCCTCTGCCAGGGAACTGAGAAGACTACTGAAAAGTGTAGGTTTCCCAACGATGAAAGGCATTGAGAGGCTGGCATGACTGCTAGGCAACACAACAGAAGTAAAACACTTCAGCCACATTGGCTTACTTGTTAATTTACTTTTACAATACTTGAATTTTAATTAAATACCAAAAAAAAAAACAAAAGGGGGAAAAAAAAATCAGTGTGGGTGGAAGATAATCATTTTTATTCATTGAGATGTGACAGGTAAGAATACTGGTGTTTTCTTACCTGGCTGGTCCTCTCCAATGGGGCCATGTCTGCTTACACAACATCTTGTACCTTTCCAGGCAAGGCTCGTAAGCTTGCCTAAACGCATAACCCGCCCTTCGGACGCGGACATTCTCCAGGAGACCGAGGTAACGAATCTGGTGGCACACTAGGGCATCATTGAAAACATGGGCAGCCTTTTTGTCATTGGGTTTGATGCACCTGGAAAGTGAAAGCAGCAAGAGATTGCAAGGACGCTTGTTTGGCAGTACTGTACATGCAAGTTATTACTGTGAGTTTAAAGCTTAGACTTCTACAGGCTTATCCAAGGGTATTAGGATATTAATTATTTTTAATTTACCTGAGTATATACAAAAGAGGCACGGACAGGTAAGCTATTGTTAATTTCTTAAAACCTTACAAGGAAGGCTGCAGCACACCGCCATGATTAAATAACATCTATGTATGTATTTGTGTTCATATACTGTAATCAATGCATATGTCCTTACAAATATATATAATCCGACAGTCATTAAGAAACATTCAGTTTGCTTTCTGTCAGCTTTGTGTTTTGCCAGCCTGGGCCATGTTTTGCCGCACTTTTCCAGAACTGCTGCTGGTCATTCACATCTTTAAAATTACAGGGAAGAAGAGATGGCCTTCTGTCTGGGGCAGACACTACAATAAGGTGTTTCTAACCCAAAACAGAGCTGCAGTATGGGCAGCAGTCTAATCACATCTTAGGGAGCAACAACCACACACTGCTCTCAAACTGCTCCCCTCCTGGGAAGCTGTGGGAAGCAGTTATACTTTTTGGACAACAATTTTTTACTTTTTTTTTTTTTTTTTTTATAAATCAAGACACTTCAAGAACGTGAACTATCTCAATAATGCCAATTCAAACAGATAGAGGGAGGAAAAAAAAATTCTACACAGCAGACTAAATACAACGGGAGACAGGAACAATTTTCAGTCAACACCCAGCAAACTGAATTTACATTATTAAGAAGATATTTATTATTCCTTGTGCTTCTTTAGAAGCATCCTTTCTAACTTCACAATGATCATATTCCATTTAAATCCAAACACTGATTCACCAAAGCTTTACCACAGTGTAATTTACCTAATGTAGTTTGGATTTTTTGTCTGAAGATTTTTCATCAGGGTAGCGACAGAAGCCTTGAATTGTGAACCTGCTGTTGGTGGTCTCTTTAAATTGATCTTAGCAGGGTTTCCTTCTGGGAATAAGGCTTTAATAAGAGAGTGACTGGCCTTCCACATGGCTTGGGAGAGGTCACGGTACAGAAGATCATTGTTTTTGTCAACAAATCCTTCCACCTGGTACATAACCTGAACAACAGAGAAGAGTCTCATCAGAGCATACTTTGGACTACAACATAGGCTGCTTCTGAATTTTACCAAGAAATAGATTTCATCTCCTTTCCCGCTATTAAAGAAAAAACCCAAAACATACTTCAGTTTTCATTTTAAATTTGACAGAAGATTTTATTGTTATGAAAGAATTTAACTTTCTGTTAACACCCTACCTGAGAAAAATATATTTTCTCATATGGCTAACAGTTTCTTTTGTTGATCAATTCTGGTATCTGAAAGAGGAAAAAAAAATTTCTCCTCTGATAACTCTGATATATCACCTCTTGCCTATACTGCAAAATTTTTGCCATTTTTTTTGGCTGACAAATTTTTTCTCCCTCTGCTTTTAACTCACAACAGCAAAAATACTATTTCCCTTCAAAATACTAATGCTTACACTATTTATCTAACTACACCAAGATATTAAGTATCACCTGTGAAACTTCTGCAATCTCAGCAACAAGTCACCATGTGTGTAATCCTCAGGGGACTGCTACGTTAAGGACTCTTGCTAGGAACAAAGTTCAACAACAACAAGCATGAATGCAAAGATCTGACCTGCAGCTGGAGCTGCACAGGAAGCTTCCAGAGAAACTTTATGGAGATCCAAAAGAGTGCTGTTGGTTGGTTGGTTGGTTGGTTTGCTTTTTAATTTTTGAATGGAGGGAACTTAGTTTGATTAATTCTGACAAGTCATCCGGCTGATAATAAAGATTTTTCAGCTTGATGATTTCCCAAATATTTCTGTGCAGATATGTATTACGTACACAGAACATTGAATCAAACAGACATAGCCATATTTGTTATGCTACAGCAAGTGACTGTGAACTCAAGAGGGCATTTTTCTTTAGAATACATGTTTCTGTTTCTAACAGGTTTGAAAAATGTCACTACTGAAAAAAATATTCACATGAACTTACTTATATTTCATAATAGAAGAGTCAAACTTTTGTTGTCCAGTCACTGGATCAAAATATTCTCAACTGAGGACGTAAAAATAATCCCAAAATAGTAGGAATTCACTGACCGCTCTGCTGAGTCTGTGAATGCCAGGAACGATTGAAGACCCCCACTGGCTGCTAAAAGCCTGTTTGCAATCTTTGTAAGAACACTCAGGTCCTTTCAAATCATCCTGAATGTTGACAACGAAAGAAGGATCTAAACATTAATCCCCGATAGATTATACCCAATTACAAAGTCTCATTAGCAAATATATACAATCATTCTATTGTATGGCTACCTTAAAGGCTGATCAGAAAGTATGACACCTCCAGCACCCTCACTTCCATAAACAAATACAATTGAATGAGCAAGCTGTCAAGCTCTTGAAAATTTACAACACTGACAAAGCATCCAAAATGAATTACATAGTCCTAGGGAAATAAAACATTTTCCAAATCTTCTTTTTTCCATAAAACTACCAAGTTGGCAGATTCAAACAAGAGGTGTAATTTCAACTCCTGGTTTTGCTTTTTTTAAAAGCTCAGAAATAAGTTGCCTTCTTTTTACAAACCTAAAGATTTGAATTTTTATTAACAAAAAGTCATACTGAATTATTCATCAAAAACTTCTATCGGACCTGTATTTAGTCAGACGGTATAACTTAGTAAAAAAACAAAATGTGTTTACAAGCCCTCTGTACAGTGTTCTCTTCCATCTGCCTAAACACACTGACTTTCAAAATGAACTCAGTTCCTTCAAATCTATGAAAAATTCACCTTCTCATCACAGTAACTAAGGACTTTAGCAACTTCTGTGACAAAGAACATGTTTTTTAAAATGTCTTGCCTTCAAACGTGTGTGAATTTTTGTCATTCTAAACAATGTGCTTGTTTTTCAGAGACCTAGCTCTGCAAATATTTTACTACCGAAGCACATAGCATGTTTCTCCTGTGCCAAAAGGAGTAATGCCCTTGATTTTATTAAGTGTAGCATGAGCTGTCAAATATTTCCAGCCAAAATTATATTTTCAGGTTTAAGACTGAAAAGATTAGGGCTGGTCTGGATTTTCTAACCAATTATTGACTCAGTCAATTCTACTCCATTACCGTAACGTTATTTAATGGACAAAGAGCCTCAGCACTGTACCAAAGCTTGACATCACCCAGGAAGAGAACACCCCAAAGCCCAGGAACCCGTTGCTCTGGTAAGTACCTTGCCGGCATAATGCTGAATCCGAAAGCAGCTGTGAGGCAAAGAGGTGTCATTGAGGAAACGCGAGCACTTGCTCATCCTGCTCTCAAAATGCTGGTGAGTGGCACAGACTTGGTTCAGTTTTTCTAGAAAGGTCTCATCAGTAACAGTCCCTGGTCTCAGGCACTCTTCATCGAGCATGGCCAGGATTCCAGTTTGGTTCTGAAGTTTAAAAACAAGATGTCTGCAGTCTTAATGTTTGTTTTCATCACATTTACATCAATACGTACAACTAAGAGTTCTCTCCTGTTTAACTGACTTCAGCTACCCAGAAATACGTTTTTCAAACCATCTCAAAGCTTAGCCAGTTCTCTTTTCCCATTTTCAACATATTTTCAGCATCTGCATTTTTTGAAAGACTGCTTCTGAGATTCGAATTTCATGACGATTTCTTGCTTTTACAATTTCACGTCATTTAGTCAGACTGTAAAAACTCCAGCTTCAGAAGAAAGTAGATTATGGGTAAAGCCAGTATATTTTTTATATTAATGGTTAAAGACGGTTCTGTTTTAATTGTTAAAGGCTTTTTTATCCTTCTAGTCATACTACGTCCATAAGGAACCCTTATTAAGTATAAGTACTTGCTGCATCTGAAGCTTTCAGTGAACAAGTCATTGAGTTTTCTGATTCCCGTATAAAAAGAAATGCTATTTGTAATGCAGCATATGATATTTTCTAATGAAAACAGCACAAAACGTAAACATTTCAGGTTTTTTTTTTTTTTTTGGGCACAGGTGCTGCTGAATATTTGTAAGACAGAGTAACAGCATACAGCCATATTCACAAAACCTCACTGCAGAGAGGGAGAATGCAGATTTTATAGCTAAATTCAATATATGCATTAAAAACTACTCGTGAAGATACCTGAATGTAACTTACATTTTCTATTAGGTCACAAATTATAGCATTGTTGAAATACTCAATGTGAGTCCATTCAATTCCCTGTAAGAAAAAAAGGCATGAACAGAAAAACAATTGAAGGCACTTTTTCTCTAGGCAATTTAAACTACATTCCAGTTAACTAAGGTCCTATTTTAGAACTTAGTTCTATAAGCTTACCAACATTTTATTTATTAAGAAAAAAATGTAATCATCTCCTACTAACATTATCTGCGCAACGCAAATGCCCTTGAGCAGCTGCCAACTCTGCTTCCCATTCCATTCCCCAATCGGTGTCAATTTCCCATGCACTTGGCTGGAAAAGAGCCAAAGCTTGATCCTGCAAGGCCTTGGGTCAATAGGCCTTTGTGTACACTCCCAAAGTTTAGAAGGAAATAAAGTCCATTTCAGTACAAGCATCTGAGATCAAAATTTATTATTTATTTATTTTTTAACAGGAGGAAGAAAAAGCTAAATTTAGATGAGAGCATCTGAAACACTCAGAGTCTGGCTATTGTTCAGATATTCCTAATATCTTAATTTTTCCAAATAACAGCAAGAAAATTTTCAGGATGAAAAGCAAATGTAACTGGAGATAATAGAGGTAGGGTGAAGAATTGAAAAAGAAAAAAAAATTAATTTCATCCTTAATTTGCATTCTGTAGTAACAGCTTACAATACAGTTCTTCATATTGTCTGAAAAATAATTCAGGTAGCAAATTGCAGTGATTTTATTTCAAGAGTTTCACCACCGAATGCAAAAAGAAAAAAGACATGTCAAAGCTTTGTATTAACCACAGGATTACAAGACAGGAACTTTATTCAGTTTTCAAAAATGTTTACATAGCAAAATGGTTCCATTCAATTTGTGTACAGACAACGTGTCCCAGTTTCTGCATTTGTGAATCGATATTTTATCTGAGCTCCGCATATCATGGGAGTACTACTAAAACCTATTAGAACTTTAACTTGAAGTACACTCACAGAATAACATCAAATACCAGAGTTTGCGCTCTTAAAATTTACCCTTAAAACTCATACAGATCACTTTGGGGCCCGACTGGAAGAAAACTAGAGCAAAAATCTATCTGGAGTTACTTTCGTCTTACATGATGCCATTTCACCCGCCTACTTCCCTTTGGAAATGAGATGAGTTGCAGCCATTTTAGGGTCAGATCCTAGATGCGACAATGCCAATTGCTAATGCCAGAAAGGAAGCCTAGTCTTCTAATAAAGTCATTAGCCCTCGCTCAGAACCACCACTCATCATTGCCAGTAACACATCTAAATGAAAGTTTGGTCTGTTTTATGCCCACAGAGTTCATAACGTGAAGCAAAACCAAAAAAACTTCTTTTGCTTAATTTAACTGTCATGCAGCCCTAGAAAGACATGCTCCACAGCAGGCCCACTTTCAAAAAGTGATTTTGTGCCCTGAAAAGAGGTGCAAGCATGCATAATTATGACAACAGGAAGGAGCAGATAATGAAAGACTGATTAAGTATTACCTCTCGGATGTATTCCTCCTGCTCTTCTTTGAGGGTAAGTTCAATGAAGATCTGCTGCAACTTCTCATTGCAGTAGTTGATAATGAATTGCTCAAAGCTGTTGTCCTGTCAGATAAAAGCGGTTTGTATCTGGCTATTGTACAAATACACTGCAATTCACCTGGAGTAAGTTCCTGCAATAGCTGCAAGCTGACAAGCTGCTTTACTAACCACTCCTTCCAGTCTTGAGATGTGATGGTTTGAGTAATACTGAGTAATATTTGAGTAATATTTTATTGAGAAACAGATTAATTTGGAAATGTCAGATCAAATCCTTCCCTGTACCCTTCTCCATTGGAAGAGGCCATAAACCTATAGAGTTTTTATTTATGATGCCTCTGTATCAGCTCCTTGGCAAAAGTCATATGGATGCCTATGCTGTCAGGGAATAGAGAACAAAGGTTTGCCTGCACTAGTCTATCCCCATATGTAAAATATGGCCTCCTGCAAGGTCTGATGAATAAAATTATGACAGTAGCACTAGCTCTTTTCTGACCAGGATCACACAGTATCAAATAAAGTATCCTATTTCTCTACCAACTGAGGCCCAAGCTGCTGTTCTGGTTGCGGCTGAGCCTGGCTTAGTTAAGAGCTTAGAGCTTAGTTATGCTCTAGGTGACCCTGCTTGAGCAGGGAGGTTGGACTAGATGATCTCCAGAGGTCCCTTCCAACCTAAACGATTCTGTGATTCTGTGATTATTGGCTCCAGCAGTCAACACAGTCTCCTCCCTGCCAAAAAATTGCTCATGTAATTGCCCCCTAAAATGCTGGGAATTGAAAGAACTTTGTCAACCAAAAAACGTTATATGGGATAATTCATACAAAACTAGGTTAGGGAGCAAGAACATGTGCAGCAAATTGCAGAAGAGCCTGAGGAACTGAGCAGAAATAAGGGAAGCGGGTTGGGCCGTGGAGAGGCCGCTCAGCGATGGCAGCCACAAGACCATATTTAACCACAGCTGCCCTGGCACGAGCTGCCGCTGCTGCAGGCGTCGGGCTGTGACGGACAGCTGTCACAGGTAAGCTGCTGCCACAGCTGTGTCCAGAGCAACGCGCTGCAGGATCCGAAACTATGGCCACAGCGAGCTCCTAGACACCACAGGGAAAAACACACAAAAGTCAACTAAGTTTTACGGTTAACTTCAGCAGGGCAGGACTTCATCAAAAAAGCTGTTGCTGATCATCTCGTTGCCTTTATGTTAAATGAGTGCAGTTTAGAGTCCAGGTGCCCACTTCTGAGGATCTGTTTAAAATAGCATTTTCAAACAAAAAGAGAACAGCAGCTTCATTGTTTTTCTCCAATGCTTATTAGACTAATTAACATAAAATCCTATACATGGATCCACAGAAATAATTGCAATCAAGAATAATTTGGGATATCTACTACTGGTCTTCTCTTCTGGCCTTTGGTGTTTTTTTTCGTTTTTTACTTTCTTTTTATTACTAGTATTCAAGACAACACTTCCGTTATTTAGGAAGCCTGAAAATTTATATCATAAACCCCTGTTCCTTTTTATATTATTAAATAAACCTGCTATACAATACCTGTGAAGTTCAAGTTAAGATGATGGAATTTTTATGACTAAGGGCAACTGCAATCATTTCAATGTTTGAACTTAGGATCTGGTTGCTAAGGTAAGATTAGGAACACACAAGCAGATTAGAAAATATGAACATAGCACAAGTTATTTTTATCATTTTGGTTTAAGTAAAGCAAAATCATAGCTGATCACCAAACTTTTCTGCAGCCACATCAAATTCTGCCCCTCATACCAACCACAATTATCAATCAGAGATTGCAACACTTGCACAGCTCTAGAAAAGAGTTATGATTTAGCATGCATCACAATCAGCACTGCAAACAAGTCATACTTACTGCACTCTGTTGCAAAAAGAAATTACATAAACTGCCGTCAGTACTTACACAATTTCCATAGCAACACAGAATACAAAATGACTATTAGCATTTGGACTATTTGGTGTACCAAGTAGATGAGTCTTTTTATCAAATTTATATTTCTATGTCACTCTGAAAATGCAAAGTGCTACATAAATGTTATATATCACACTTTTATAGATGGGAGAATCTTTAGGCTCTATCCAAATAAACCAAGGGATTGAAGCACATCCAAGCATAACACAGAAGAGCACACTTGCACTGTCACATCTGTAAATCAGTGTGTATCATTTGTCTCAAAAAGTCACATATACGTTAGAATTAGCAAGAGCTCTAAAGGACTTTTGACATTGGTCTTCAGAAGACAACAGAGAGTGATTAACGTCAGTGACAGCACATCACTAAACCGAACCAGGAGAAAAGGGCTGAGAGGACCTAGCTGTCAGCGACTGTATTTGCTCCCTATGCTGAATATTCTGATTAAGTGATAGAAAGGGCTTTGACGAACACAAAAGCAGTATTGGTCAGACCCAAAATTTCCTAGGAAGAGTTAGTAAATTCAAATATTGTTAAGAGATTTCAGGGGAAAAAAAATATTTCAGGCCCAGCATTTCTCCACTGCTGAAGAGCGTAGGCTTCTTTTCCAGACTGCAAACTGCTACTTTAATGTTGAAAGCATCACTTCAACCACTGCGTTTAATAGCAATGTTTCCAAACTACTCCTTTGAAGCCACTGTGGAATACATAATGTTACTTTTGGGGAGGGGAAAAAAACCCATTCAGTCTCTCAAATTTATTTAAGGGTGCCAGGAAACAGCATGCCACCTGAGATGGGTTTAAAGTCACGTCAAAGTTATAGATATAGATGAAACAACCACCCTCAGCTTATCCTCTCAATCTTTATCAGGTGCAACAATGAATTTAGACAACAACTAGAAAGATTCTCTGATGAAAATCAAAGCCTATTTCATCATGATTTTCACTTTACAAATAACGGTGTCCTGATCATTGAGTTTTATTCTTTATCAGCCTTCAGACTATCATGTATCAGGATGCCATTTCACGAAAGGCAAGTTTCTGAACTTCAAAATATTCTGCTTCTTGTAAAATATATTGCATGTATAAACTAGCAGATCATCGCATTATAATCACTGAGGATGTTAGCCTTGATTATGAAAAGACAAAATTTCTGGGTTTGAACCACTTCTGTTACTTAAATTCCATGCAGGTCCTTGAAAGTCTAAGGAAAATATTTTTGTTCCTTAATATTTCACCTAATTTCTTCAGGAGATTTCAATCATGCATAACATGTAATTACCAGAAAAAAAATATATGAATGTTTCTGACCTTATACATTGTTACACCAGCAAAATACCAATAATAAGAGGCAAAATAAAAATACTCCTATCCAAAAAAAAGTGAAAAGAATTGGACTAAGTGTCTCATACTGGCCTCAGGGAGAAACATCAAGGTGCTGATGCTGAGAATCATTTCTTGCATTACATTTATAGATACAAAATTTCTTTTAAAAGGGTGCATTTTCCTAGGAAAGCCATCTACCTTCTAACCTTCTCTCCCCGCAGACAATACATATTCATTTTGGAATACCCAGATACTAGTGACTGCCAAAGATGCAGAGGCAGCTTAGCTACCTATTTTTACTGAGAGTCAGTGCCTCAGGAAAGGGAAGTTTCTCAGCCTTAATATTGCCATTCTTTTATCACCCAATCTACAAACAAACGCCAAGTCATCAAAAGCCTGGAATTTTTCTTTGCACAGCAAAAGTGCTCTTTGTACAGCAGAGTTCTGCAATACCCCTCACACTAACGTTCACTGGGATAGCAGTACTTCACTGCAGTTCTGTTTGTCTGTTTACCTATATGTGAACATTTAGGTAAACAAACTTACTTGAAAAATATCTCGTGTAAACCAGATTTTAAGCTCCATGCTTTTGTATAAATACCTCTGCAGGCAAAAAAACGGAAAAGCATACCATTTAATTATAAATATTCCACGAACATGTAAGCAAACTTTATGTGTTGTAGTGTAACTAATGGAAAGCAGTAACAAAGATAGATGCCCAAACCTCAGGGATTATCTGTTTTCCGTATTTGCATAGCAGGGCTGACTTCACTCATTATTGATGTTATTGGCAAATCTCTCCCTGGTAAAGAACCAAGCACTCTAAAAATCCATCTTACTCTCCTCTGTGGTCTCTGGACACACAGCTTTAAATCAAATTTGGAGTTAAAAAGGCAAGAACCTATGCTGAATCCAGTAGATGCAATGCATGCGTGATCCACAGGGACCCCCGGATACAATCAATTTAACAAACGCAACCTGATAATTAGTCATGGAACAAAAGGAATTACAAACAGGCAAGAACCTACTATATAATCCTGTCCATTCCTCTGCTAAGAAATAATTGTGGCTCTAGGGCAAAACGTTATAATCACAAGCTTGGGCAAAGCATTCATGTATATTTGCTCCAGCATTTCAAAAATTTCCTCTGTTGAAAAGCATATAGCCAATGGGATTTACTTCATAAACTTTGTTTTTGTTTTGTTTCAAAATAAGCCTCTCTACTGAAATTATAATGTGATTAATTACATGGTGATTAACTTCCTGGGATGAACCTCTGCTTCTGAATATTCCAGCACTTAAAATACAGTTAAAAATCATTTTCTTAAAATCTCCATGGCACCTAGTAATCCAAGCAAGGGTCAATCTCTGTGAAGCTCTCCACTTTCACAATACCTGCCAGCAGATGTACTTGATCAATTATAGATTAAAGATTCAGTTCTCCACTTTCACACTAAACTGGGCTTTGCCCTGTGCAATCAGATTGCATATTTTGGCACTGCGGCTTTTCAGTACATAATACATGCTGACAGGCATCAGAAAAGTGCTGAACAATTTAAAAAAGGAAATCTGGTGCAAGGCACAGTGCCTAGAAGAGAAAGTTGGAAATTACGCTCTAGAGATTAAGGCAATTCCAAGACAGCAGATATCTGTGGTTCAGTTAGAGATGAAGCTAAGACATAGAGGAAGGGTCCTCAAGCCTAAAACCTGAAGATAACAGAGGATAAGTCAATTTTCTTCATATGCTTTTTTCCTCTAATAACTCTCTAGTTATTTGATCTGTCTCCAGTAAAATCGTCCTTAAGGAAAAAGACATCTCTGGGTCAGCACCATCCTCAGACCTCAGCATGCTCTATCTCTGCAATGGTTATTTCCTTCATTTAATGAATAGGATGCCAAAAGGCAAAGCAGCTATGCAGCCAGCTGTTCTGTAGGCTTGTGGTAAAATTGGAAGCAGCTCCCCAGTTCTGTCACGCATTAAAAACCTCAGAAAGGTATTTTTTAATGTTTATCCCCTCCTTATTTGGTTACCTGCCTTTAAAGAGAGATAATTATCACAGCTGTGAACATGTTAACATAATGACAGTGCATTCTTCATACCTCTAATAGAATTCTCTCAATAAAAACATCATCACTTCATCAATGGTGACAATTTACATAAACCATATTACTAATTTTCTTTCTATCATCACAAGGGACTTCTACACACATGAAACAAGATAACCATGCCTGGACCATAAAGAGAAGAGTTATCAAAGTGCCTCACAGACTATGAGAAAAGGACATGCTTTTATACTGCTGGCAAGGTTGTTCAGATTTTTTGGTGGTGGCATTTTTATTTACTGCAGGTTTTATGTAGGATCTGGTGGATGCCTCCATGTCTCTGCACATTCTTGTGGACCTGGCTCAAAAGGAGTTGTGTGAACAGACAGGTTCCTCACCTTTCTTCTTTGAGCCCAGAAGATTTCAACCATCAGCCTTGCCTTGCAGTCTGCACATCTGCAGACCCGATCTTTAGCCCAGTTAAATATGCAAGCAAGGTTTATCTAAGAACCAAAGACCAAGTACTCAAATCACCTCAGATTGAGTCCCAACAGACCCCTGAGAGCCAAACAGAAACAGTCATGCTCATCCTGCAGCCTCTGCTCTTGCAGCCGCATCCTCAGTGCAATCCCACTTCTCACCCAGCTAATAACTGGGGAACAGACGGCCGCACCTAGGAATTGTTATTCCTGCTTCCAAACTGACTTCCGAAGACCTGAAAAATTTCAAGAATAAGCCTTGTTTGGCAGCTTTTATTTTCATAAACTTAAATTCCAAATAGCTAGTCTCATCTAATGGACCAGCTACACCGTAGCACCTGAGAATTCAGAATAAAGCCTTTCAGCCAACTAACACAAGCAGTCATTTTATCTCTAAAGGGTAGGCAGGATGAAGTACTGAAACTTGCTCCATAACCTTCATTTTTACATACCCTAGCTCTTGTCTACACCAGAAATGTACAGAACAGTACCAGAATTTAAAAATAAAATATTCAACTCGACTAGAATAAATCTTCTGCTCATCCCTGTTGAAATCTGCCAGGCCCTCAGCCATCTCCCTCATATATCTCTTCAATTCATTTTCGTAAACTCTAACTCTTCCATAACCCTACCCTAACATTTTGCAGAGATGTGGAAACAACTTCTGCCCAAAAATACCAAACCAAGTGGAGAATCAAATGGGGCCGGCCCTAAACCTACCCAGCAAGCCTGCAATCTAGCTGGCTCTGAATTTCCCAGTGCCACTAACCACAATCCCAGCCCCATCCCAATCACAGTCTAGGCTGCAGATCAAGCGCACGCACAGCTGTACAAAAATTCAAATAAACGTACTTGTAGTAATTAGTGTCAGACTTCAACCCATTGCTCAAGCCCCAGCAGCATTACACACAACCAACCTGGTCCTGTAGCTTGTCCTTGCACATTAATCCTAGCCCCTAAATCCTTGTCCATAGATAATTCACACAGAGATACCCCAAATTTAAGTATTCAGCTTTCAAAACATTCAGTTTCAGCACACAGCTTACCACAAAGGGCCTGGCAGAATTCAAAAATAAACATAGCTTTACAGCACCTATTCGGTGCATTGTTTAAACAAGCTTGCTGGTGAAATCTGCCAAACCTATAGAGGCTGAGGATTATCAGTAGATTTGAATTCCCTAATTTGGGTTTTTGGACAGCCAAGTCCTTAAATCTGTTTTCTTGGATAGCTTTCGGGGTTTGTCTGAAAAAGGCTTTTTGTTTTTGATAAAAATGCCAGCCAGCTGAAACCAAGTCCCAAATAGCATATGCCAATATTACCAACACTCCAATATCTTTCCACTGTTACGTTTCAAGAACATTCCAGTTACTTTAAGCACACTTCTGCCCGAGTAGCAGAACACTGTAGAAATAACAGCAGACAGTAAATAAAACAGTCAAAACCAACTGCAAAATAATCTCATTTATACTTACTTATAATAAAATAGGGCTACTATTGTCATCAGAACATCAAGTTTAGGACTTCTCAGAACGGTAAATTCTGCATTTTTTTCCACTCTACTTTTAGGAGGAAGTGTAAGATGAGTTAAGGAATCCTCCTAAGTAGGATATAGCCCCAAGACATATAGTTTGCGCTACCCATTATGAAAAACAAACAAACAAACATTTCCCCCAAGCCCTCAAATCTGTAGCAAACTAACATTTTTGCAGTGGAAATAGATTATTCTATAATGTATTGCAGTATCATTTCAGTGAGAACGTCCAAGACAGAACAGGTAGCTAGAATGTCATTAACTTATTCTTTCAGCTATCCTCATGGGCAAGCGTTTTGCCCTCATGGGCAAAAAAATTCACCCTTCGGTAAACAGATATCTCCCTATTTATTTCAGTGGTATCAATCTTCATGTGTTAAATACTTAACACATATAGGATATATATGAAAAACTTGTACCATCCTTCCTATGTTTTCTGATATGCTCTGTCTCTATCCTCAATTCATTTATGTCTAGTTGTTGTAAAGACAGAGAGGCAGAAAATACTTTTCAGTCCATGAATTTCTTGGACCATTCACACTCCTTTATAAAAGTACAAAGAAACTTTAGGTCAAAGAACATGCACTAATGAGAAAGCTATACACCCCCTGAGTAGGGGCTTTTTTTTTTTTTTTTTGAAAAACCTTCAGCATACTGAATAGCTTACAAGTTTGTAATGTACAGGTTTACAGAAAGATGAGTATTTCAAACGCACTTTTACCAACAAATTTCTTCATACAGATCATGTTAGTTTTAATCGTCAATAATGCATATAAAAAAACCCAAAATACGATCACACTTAATAACTGTGTTAAAAAGGAGGCTTCACATTTCTAGTCAGTGCTTATAACTCATTTATAATTGATGGATATATTTATTGCTATTAGCTGCACTTCAGCTAATATTTCGAATGCTTAGTAATCATATTTATAAAAGTACCCCCTGGCAAAACACTGTCAATTACACTACACTTTTTATGCTATACATTTTAAGAAGATTGAATTTTCCTCAAGTCACTGTATTGTATAGGTGTTAAAATTTCATTCAATTATTGATTGGTCTGATATAATTAATTCTAACAATAAATATTTTCTGTAAAGTGGTTACTGAAATCCTTAATAGTAATTATATTTCAAAAGCATTTCTTCAAGATCTTTAATAACTCTTGTGAGATTCAATCACTTGTTATAAGACTCCATATGAACATGTTCAGCAAGCATCCTGTTAATTGACCTTACTACGTGCAGATTCATTCAAGTGACCACAAAAACAATTACACTCTGTCTACACAGTGTTCATTAAACAGTTATTTTACTCAATTTAATGGTTATAACACTAAATCTTTTGCTCCAACTCGAGCAGCAGAGAAAATTTACTTCCTTTTGCATTAAAAGAATATCTTTACTTTCGATTCAATTAAGGATAGACCTCCCTCTCCCTTCCCCCTCTCCAGAAATAAATCTCAAAATTGTCTATAAAACAAGATCAGAAACATTAACTTTGGATTGCTCAACATCATTCTCATAAGCCCAAAACATCTGCTACTCAGGCTTTTTTCATCACAACTAAAAGCATAAAATATAAACCGTTTTTTTCAAAGATGCAGACTTTCCGATTTATTTATTGTAAAAAAAACTTTTTCAAAACTGGTACGTAGTATTGCATCTTGCTTTCAATAAATCAGCATTTTCCAATTAAAAAATTACCCTATCTGGAAACACAGGGATGGCTATAGGGTGGTACGAGAAATACAACTGATTCACAATGTTATAATGGATTGTTTTTCTACCATTCAGCCTTTGAATTAAGGTACTGTCACACAGTCCCAATACTAAAACTGTACTAGTAACTCTAGGAACATAAAACAATGTTTCAGTTTCTTTTTCAAATATGTTAAAATGAAAATAAATTATAATACAAGCTGTATATGTATCTGGCATATGATTTGAATCCCATCATGAATATTCAGGAAGACTTCCTTTTATTTCTGCAACACTGAACCAAGTTTCTTGGCTAGTGCTCCCACAACTCTTAACTAATGTGAGAGCTAGCTTCCTGCCCAGCGTGAATGCATTTACGACTTTGACCCTGTTAGGTTACAACGTAAACCTTTCCCACCTTTTCAGGGAGAACCGAAAGATGCTCAGCATTCAGAGAACGGAACAATAATTGCATTCCTTAAAGTTTTTCAGCTTGTCTGAATTAGGAAAGTTAAATTTATAATTCAGTGTGTAAGGTTGGTGGAAAATAGCCCTTTTTTCATTTTTCTCCTGTAAAACTACATCTCCTATATTCAATTGTTTACTTTATAACCTTTCAAAATGTTGAACTCCTACAAAAAAGCAAGTTACATGTGAGAAATAAGCTATATTTGAACTCTGCAACACCGTCCCACGAACTCAGTTACAGAATTGGCTTGTGTGCTAACCTAGGTTTCCAGCCTCCCTATCATCCTGCATAGTTACCCTTAATCAAATGTATACGGAAGAGCTAATTAAAACAAGAATCCTGCCCAAAGCTGCCAGCAGTCACATTCCACTGCCCAGCTCTCTAAAGGTATGTCAAGGGCCTTCTCTAAATAGATCTAGTTTTGACAATTGCATTCAGCCATCTGACTACCTGTAATAGATTTTCATAAATATTCTCATATGTTTAACACGAAGAATATATCCTAGCCGAATAAACCCTCCAAGCAAGCACAGCTTTGTCTTTCCTCTTTGCGGAGGTATTTTGGTTTGCACATGCTTTGATGTTATGCTCCTGAAATAAAATGTCTCACTCTCCCACACATAATTAGTATTTGGTAGGTTCTCTCCATCTTCTGTGCAGTTCAACCATGCTCCCTGGACTTTCAGGGGGATATAGGGAAGCAGGTAAGGATTGTACAATTTACACTGACGTTTCTCTCCCATTGAGTTTCTAGTTTAAGTACTATTCCAGTATATCCAACTCAGATCCATAAATCTCTTAAAATAAATCGTCAGAATAAGATTTATGCGAACTCCCTGATGCTAAGTTCTTTAGCACAACTAAGAATTCCTTGTTGATTGTTTTTGTTTTAAAATACCATCAGTCTAAAAATATTACCAAAAACAAACAGCAGTGAGCCTCAGATCATTACCTAGGAATCAGTACAGAATATTTATGAGTGAACTGAGATGAAATGGAATATAATTCCTGGTTTAATTTTAAAAGGGAAAATGTATAATTCTTGGGCCACGAGGGGTTGTTTTATTTTTAAATGATACAAAGTTTGTTCAAAGATATCCACAAAACGCCTCAAGGCAGAACTGACATTACTAGAGCTTCTCTTGTGCTCAGAATGTATGTTACAACAAAATATATTTAGTATACCATCATAAACATTTATTTCCTTAGGGTTTAAAAACATGAGTTTGGCTTTCACACATTTCTGTTGCAATTGCCAGACTTGCTAAGACATCTATCTCTTTTTGGCTTACTTTCCCAGAGTTTTTTGTCCAGAATGATGCATTTAATTCAAATTACATGTACTGTGATTACACATGCCTGAACTACTATTCTATTAATGCTTATTAACAGCTTTAACATTAAATGTTTACGATTATAAAGGTCTTACCTCAAAAATTTCAAAGCCATAGATGTCTAGTACCCCCATTACCTTCTTTCTCACTTTTGTTTGTGCCTTAAAAAAAAAAAAATTCTGCATTAGTTACCTGTACATTTCATACTAACGTATCTCATAAATAGGCTGTCAAATTGTGTAAACTAAAAGGTTAAGTATGGTTTCCCAAAATACACTTAACATGAATGTTTTCACAAGCTTAAAAACAGACCAGACAGCAACCTCAAGAGCTGTGATGCAGTTATTCACCTGAACCATGTGTAACGCCCTATAACCAGAAGAATAAAATTGGCAAGTATAGTTTTACTGTCCAGTTTAACTTAATGCATTGCCATTGATTTTTTTTTAACAGGCACTAAACAATAATACCTTAATGCTTTCATTGATTCTGGTCACCAGCCAAGAAAACAGTCGACTGTACAAATTCTTAGCCAAAGCATCACGAGCATAATAAGCCTATAAAGAAGAAAGAAGAAACATGTTATGAATCCTGGGTAATCTGAAACTTGTGTCAGCCCAGCATCCTCAAGGTGCTTTGAGCAGACTGAGAGTTACTGCGGCAGCAGCTCCTCTGCCCCAGCAGCCTCCCAGCCAGAGCCACAGCCCCGGTGTGGTGCCGGGGTGCTCCTGGGCGCGCTGTACCACCCGTCTCAAAGGCGCTTCCCACGTCAGCCCCGACAGCGGCTCTCTGCCTCCCCTCCTGCCCTGCCGGGCACCCTCCAACACTCCCATTCCCCATGCCAATCCAAAGCACAGGGACTTGAGAAGTGCGGCAGCAAAAACCACATTTTTGCTAGTTTTAGCTGATGAGACGCAGGAAGAAATCCAGTATGTCCTCCCTGGAATAAATGGCAATCATACTGGCTTTGCAGTATTACAGAAAGATAAATTCACACTGGCAGCAGAAGTTGTTCAACAGCCTGGGACATACAAATCACACGGAATTACAGCTGCTGCTCTAAATAAAAACAGTCCGCTATGCCACACTACTTTGAAATATGCATTTTGTGCAGAACTGTTGTATGTTTGCATCTCGTCAAAATTTTTCCTACCCCTCTTCTTTTCAACATAATTCACACAAGAAAACAAAACATCCGATATATCTGAACATTTAAAAACTGTTGAGGAAAGACAGAGTTATGCCCGTGACACGTGTTATTCAGTACAGCCTTATCAGTAGTACTTTTTATTTGTGCAGTTATGGTGTACTCATGTAGAATAAATTCCCCTTTAACATAATTCTTTCTTTTAAAATCAGGACCTCTTTTTACCTGAGCCACATTTAGCGTTGTGGAAACCTTTTCTTGTTTAGCTTCAACGGTCCGGAAGCTGAAAGCTCTTTCCAGTACTGACTGGTCTATACCTGTCAGCTCACAGATTTCCTTGAGTTCTAACAAGAAAAGGTAGGGTGCAAATATGTAAACATGATTAATCCTTTCATATCACCGTGCCCTCTCCTCCCCCTCCCATTAGCTTTTAAATAGTTCAGTTGAAAAAAACCCTGTTTTGGGAAAACATTGAAGTTTTTGCCCTCCACGCTCCCTCCCGCCAAGTAAAGCTGTTTTTAAAACGCACAGCATGAGGAAACAGGATGCACCGAGTTACGAGCTTTGAAAGCACTATTTGGTTATCTTTTGTGAAGAAATTTTTCTTCCACTTCTCATAGACCACTCTTCCTGAAGAAAAATTTTCAAATGAAAATAAATGTACTTTCAAAACATATCAGTTGCAAAAACACCCCATCAAATGACCAAATGAATCTGAAATTAGACAGTAATACTCCACTACAAAAGAAACAAAAATCTCCGCTGCAGAATAATCAAGCGGTTACAGAAATGCATAGTAAAGTTTAACACTTCAGCATTAGGAAGTTTTATTAAACTGAAAAAGAATGATGATAACCATTTGGGGAATTTCAAGTACAGAGTAACTGAAGTTGTACAGAACTCACATATTTACCTGCAGATGAGTTTTGGAAACAGTCTAACTCAACTCACTGATAAGGATATAATAAGTCTACAGAAACTACGAAATTCATAATGATTTCAGATAAATTAGCGTTTTTCCCTCCATCACCAGTCTCATCTTACCATTTTTATCTTTGATTTTACTTTCATCTAAGCCATTCACTCGAGATTCAGGTTTAAATTCAATATTTCCCAGTTTTAGAACTGCTGCCACCACTTCAAAAATAGACTGTGTTTCATGATCCATAAAACCAACAATTTGCATGGCATTCTGGAAAGGGTACAGATAAAATTATGAGGTAAAAGAATCTAAATCTAAACAGATTATATTTGCAAAATTCACCATGTATCTATATTAGCATAAATTGGAAGTGTTTTGTAAACCATTACATTACAAAAAGAACATGAAGTAACTACTAGGCTTGGATAAGTAAATGTTAAAATATAAAATGGAGGTTTATTTTTTATATATACCACATACATTTATATCTGGTATTTGAGCCGGCATTTCAGGCCAGTCCACTTCTATGATTTATGCCAGACCACTGAGAATAATTTATGTTAAAAAGTCAGCTCGTATTTTTTTAGCCATTTAATTTAATATATAACACAAGCAAAATTTCCAAAGTCAAGTGAACAGATACTGCTGTCTTCTTAGTCCAATAACTATCGGAGTCTAAATTTATATATGCTGGACAACAGGTTGTTTTGAGTGCAGTCAAGCAAAAATATCATAGTAAATCATCTTGAGAACCATCCCAGTCCTGTTTTTCTTTTCCTTGGTCAGCATCACCTGGGTCATTAAGCCCAATGATGTGCCATCATAAGCAACCATACAATACAAGTCTTCCCTTGATCAGATCATGGAGTCTGGGCTTTTTTTGTGCCTGCGTGCGTGTGCATCTCTTTTGCCCTCGTTGTTTCCACTAGAATAGTCCAGTGACCTGGTTCTACTATTTAATGCAAGCACGCTCATAACTAGTTTATAACTATTCATTCTTAAACTTTATCTTAAATAGATCTTTTCATTTGGTATAAAGAAAAGAACCATGTATTATCTCAGTCTTCACTTTATTTGGGCAAACCAGCTCAGCTCTTTGCTTTGCCTCCTTGTAGCTAAACTTTCTTGCATAAACACTTGCCAGAGGAGTGAGTGCCACTTGTAGCCTGACTCTGAAAGGGACTCAGAGAAAATGGTCCTCCCGGCCCAGCACAGACATAAGGGCCAAACTCAGGGTGTAAGAATTTTGGATGACTGCTGAGCACTTTGGGGCTTACACCCAGTCCAGGTCACTTCTTACCCTCACTGTTCTGAAGTTTGCAGCATCATCCACTCCATTTACTCGGGCAGAGTCGAGCCCAAGGTAGTTGTATCGGCTGAAGTCCCGCTCCAATTTAAGTTTGCCTGATAAATGAAATAAAAGCATCATTAATAACAGCATTCTTGTGAGCAGTTCTTTTATTCTCAGAACTGGCAATGCCAAGAACTGTTGTTGTTAATAGGATTATGTTTTCTTTAAGGATCGTCCCATTACAAGCCTTTAAAATAAGAGTAGGCTTTCTTCTGTGCTTATAATACATCAGAAAGCCAATTCTGACCCAGATTTTTAGATAGCACCAAACTATATATTTACTTCTGATATTACAATTGCTGCTATCACCAATAACAATAATTTGAAAATACCGTGTTTCCGACAAAATGTGTGTGGAATTGTAAATGAGAGAAGAATCACATCTGGAAATGGCATAAGTGCAACACTTACAGAGGAAGTCTTCTGATGCACCAGACAGTATCTGATAGAAAATATGAAAGTTTCTTTCACCTCTTGGCTGCTTAACAACACGAGACTTCTCTAACAGATCTAAACAAACAAACAAAAAAATCCCACAAAAGTCAGGAGAAAAACTACTCGATCAAAAAACTTGAACATGAATCCTATCTTTTTCTACTGCACTATCCTCATCAGCAAATTACATGATGGTAAGTATTATGCACAGGTAATATCACTATTTATCACATCAGTAAATATTTCTCAAATAAGTTATTTGAGCAAGCTATACGAAGCCCATTACGCTTCTAAATGCTGCGGTCTAGCAGCTACAAACAAAAATCAGGTCACGAGAGGAAATGTGCTCAAAAGACATCCCAATCGCTAAACAGTACAAACCACAAAAGTCAGATTTGGGAAGAACTGTTTTACCATAAAAGTTTACAAGAGAGCTGTAACGGTAAGAGTCTATGAACACTAGAGGTGACTAAATGAAAGGAAAAAGCCAAATAAAAGAAGAATTTAAATGGAATAATCACGTAACGCTTTGTAATAATCAAGCGCGTCAGACAAAGAAATAATTTCCTAAGGGACTGACAGAAGCTTCATCATAAGACATTTAAAATGAAATGGAAGAGAAACACTTTGAAAAGCATCATTGCGCTGGCTGAGTAGTTTGACACCACTAGTAACTGGCACATGTCTAAGCCTTACCAATAAGGTTTGGTAGCCCGGCAGACAGTAGAGATGGATCAACTCACTACCACGCTTTAGACTCTATATCCTATTTCCTACAGGAGTGACAACACATTTTTTGTTCAGCCTGAACTGCACATTGCAAGGCTATGGTCCTCAGACAGGGCAATACGAGAGTGGGGAGGGATGTGATGAGAGAAGCTCTGGATGGTTATCAGTGGCACTCAGTTTGGCAGAAAACAGCTAATCTTGTGACCATCAATGAACAACTGCAGGTGTTTTTATTCAAAAAAGTGCTTTTCATTCTTTTCTCCGTGGCACTCAAGGGCCCCATGCCATTTTTTCAGATGGCAAACCCACAGGTGCTCGTACACAATTTCCCTTTAAGCTGCGCCCAGGCAGCGGCAGGAAGATGCAGGAGCTCAGCGCACCGACCCAAGCGCACAGCGACGGAGCTCTCTGCGCTCCTATCGGTGCGCAGGCATCGCCCCTCAGCAGCCGCCTTACGGTCTCTCCTCAGCTGCGCCCATGCAAGAGGGAAGCGGCAGCAGGGAAACCTCCCCAGCTTGGATGACACACTTTGGAAGAGCTGCCACAAAGGCAACAAAGTTTTCACAAAACCAACATTTGGGGAACACCGTAAGACACAAGTTGTTTTGAAATACTGTAACATCCAGCACGTAAACTATTCCTTTCCTCAAATTTTCATTTCTGCTGAAACTGAGCAGCCTGTTTAGTCAGCCTGGCTCGCTCCCCCTTTCATGCGTGAGCTTCCCGACCCGCGGCTCTGCTCTCAGGAAGAACGCCTGCCCCAGGCTTCGCTTCCTGAACGGATGAACAAGTAGGAACACAATAGGATGCATTCATATTTTTACTGGTTATAGGCAGTATTTTGTCTCAGTGTTGCCCGCTGCCATTATCTAAGCTTAAGCACCTTCCCATGCAATAGGAACCAAAGAACTTCAGGCCACAAAATTATAAAAGCATGAGCAAGGTCTTCCAAATAAACTACAGCAAGACAGATTCAAAAATTAGCTTCTGCTCTAACAAACAACTGGTGACAACAAGGACAAAATTAGTACATTATTATTAATCTTCTAGTTGGCTTTTACTAAGGCAGTTTCAAGTTTGTTCAAGACCAGCTAAACTGCTTTATTCTGTAAACACACCATTGTCGAGTGAAGGATCTTAATCCCTGCAGTCGGTGACAGTGAGTGTAGCTCCCAGCACACAGAGCATCTGAAAGGGTGAAGACTGCATCAAGATGAATTCCACAACCACTGAATGTCTTGTGGGACCAAGTCAGAAAATTAGTCTTTTTTGAACAGACATATGTGTTTTCATAATTCAATAATCCTACAGTTTTCTTCCTTCCAATACATCCGTGTTTCAGCATCAGGAAGTTTCGCAAGCGCCCAGCGACAACATACAGCTACGCCTGAACAAGTGTATGTTTCTATGCTGCCAGGAGTTCATCTTCGCACTAGAATGGGAGCAGGTTACAGATTTACACTCTTGTTTTTCTATTTTATTGACATCTTTTTTTACCACAGATAACTAACATTTGGCATTTGATGCTATGCCTGAAAGGCACAGTTCAGAAAGCACAATTCGCACCCAGAGCTTTGCACTCCGCACAGAGCGGGGCATTGAACCGTCTCCAGTACAATCTCTTTGCCAGCGATTTCATGTGAGGTCGGAGCTCTCCTCCTTCAGTTATCCTGGCTCAAACTAAGAGTCATTCTATGCCTCACTCATACTTACTTCCTCCTCAATCTGACCCTCTCTAGTTTTCAACTCATAGCTAAAGGGGAGAAGCTCGTTGCCATTCAGGTATTAACACCCGGGCCAAGAGTCGTGCTGTCCATAAACGTGCTCAAGTTAAGTGCTGGAATGGAACACAGCCAAATTTAAGCACAAATAAATAAATCACTACAGCTCCTGTGGTGGCTACACACACTTCAGGAAATGGCTGTATTTTGAAGCAATCTAACTTGTGAAGCTGTTTGGCTTATTTGGGTTTAAAAACTTTCTATACTCAAATTTACTCAAATACGGTCATAAAATCTTAGCTACACAGTCCTGGCAAAATGTAAGCCTTATATGTAAGCCTTCTTCTAATTACACGTATGCCTTCAGCAGATTTGACAGTTTCTTGAGTATATGTTAAATTAGTTATGTTAGGATAACTGTCTTTGATTTTTCACTGTGGCTTATTTCATTCATATATTTTTGGAAGCAAGAAAGTTAAGTAATTAACAGACAGCCAGTGTTCCATATTCCGTCAGCCTGGGTAATTGAGGAAAAAAACTCCAGAAAGTGGTTACTGGCAGAAGGTCAGGCATTCACCTTAACAAAGCAGCCATTACCAATTCTTTTTAAAATCGTGTTCATTTCCTTCTCTTTTTCTTTTCTTTCTATCCACACGCAGACTGAAATCAAACTGGTAGAAAAGATCCAAACCATCTGCCCTATTCTTAGGGAACTGGATTTTTCCCCACTTTGTTTGCCCTATTAGCATTTTAATAAATCAACCCACTATATTTACTTTAAAGTAACTATTGCACAACCAGTAACTTTTGTATTTATTCTCAAATGATTAGAAGCTCTGTGGATTGAACAGCCAAAACAGAAGACACAAAAACACACATCAGATTTGTGCACACATTAATTTGATAACACTAAAAGGCTTACAGCAGCAGGCTGGACAGCTGTTGCTTATGTATATAAAGACAAGCACAAACAAAAAAGAGAACTCCATGCATATTACATTGTATTACATGTTTTATATAAATAATATATGAGGAATATAAAGAACTATCTAGAGAGGATTTATATATTTATATATAATATATAGGTGCATTATATATTCTTTCCACATTACCTAGCACTGCTTCATTTTGAAGAGAAACATCTAACGTTTCCTCTATCAAAGCAACTGTAAAGACCTTGGAAAGGTCAACCCTGAAAATACAATCAATGTTTAAATCACTGTCAGATTGCCAACTAATGTTCTTAAAACATTTTGTTTTAATATCCACTTATCCAGATGATTCAAAATCCCTCAGGTTCTGAAGAATACTCATTATTCCTAATGACACTGCTTTTAAATACAAGAGGTCCATAAGCGCATCTTGCAAAACCATTCAACTGAACTCAAACAAACAAACAAAAAAATACTGCTGCAAACTATGACACACAAATTTACATGATTTGATTTGTTTTCAGTCACTTTGCCCATGAATCTCATTGATACAGAAATATTTGGCATATTTGCCTTTCTCAAAATATATTAGAGATTGAATCCACATTCAAGAAAGAAATGAGAAAATACCACAAGAAAATACATCGTCACTATGTTGGTATGTTCTAAATGATACAGAATAAATTATTTTTAGTCATTTTCCCTTCAACCAGCCATGAGCGAGGACCTTTTTGGCTATTCAAAGTTACAGAACATTTTCTAGTCACAGAAACTCATCTTTACATCCATATTATGTTATGACAAAACAATTATGTTTTCTGTTGTCCCGCCTTGATTCTTTTCTTCAGCTGTCATCAAAAACGTCACTGATGACAAAGAAAACATAGTGGTGGTTTCTCAAAAGCTTTTTCCATATTATTCCCACGAGGTTTACAACAACACCCTCTTAAATGAAACAATGCAAAACTGCATCAGACCATAAAATACTACCAGATGGAGAGTATGTACAGTGAAAAACAACAACTACATAATTTTAAGAGCATTAAACCCTGATTGCTCAAGTGATAAGTGACCTTTAAAAATGAGCTAATCAAAATGTTTAGGGTTTTTCTTAAATGTACTTCCTAACTTAGGCAATTGCATAAAAAGTGGCAATCGTGCTAAATGAAACACTAATGGAGAAGCCAGAACAAGTTAAGATTAATGAGAGTTAAGTAAAGTAAGTTAAGACAAACGAGAAAGAGTATCTCTTTCCAGAATGCATAGTTGTAAAAATCCTATGTAATGTTTCCCTGAGCAAAGGAAATTACTAACAATAATCATTTAACTAAAATCAACAGCCTGAGTTGTTGATTTCTCAGTAACTGAGTAATTACTTTTGTCTTTTAAAATGAAGTAGCAAGTTTTAAAGAACAACAAGTTATCACTAACACATTGCTTAACGTAAAAGTTGTTGCTTTAGATAAAGATCATGGCTTTCTTTCATGCTGTTTTTGAAGAAGGTAATAAAAATAGTTCCTTTTTCCATGATAGTTAAAGCTTCTGATTTGGACTTTAAATACGCTGTGCTGGTTAAATATGGCTTTTCAAAAGCAGGCATTACATACATGGTACTTCATATGCGCCACTGTTATCTTCTAGTTAATCATTAAGTCATTGAAGGGCTTAGGCAGACTAGGAAAGACCACCTAGCTAATTAGCATTAGATATCTTTCAGTAGGTAATCTCAGCTAAAATGAGAAAATTTAAGATTTACAAATATTCTGGGTAAAATACAATAAGATCCAAGTTTTCTATAAAATTCAGTGTGCACAAAAACAGTCACAAATCAACTAACCAAGTGCACACACAAACACAGCATCTGTGGGAAAACGGTCATATCCCAGAGCTGTACAAACTACAGCAATTAGCACCTATTACTTTAATAACAACCATACCCCTTTTTACATGAAATGCATATTACGCTGTTTTTATAGGCGTAAAAGAAACAATTGCTCGCCTCTCTCCTGCTCTCATCCCCATTAACATGATAGTTCTAATAAACAGAAAATTAAGAACTGTGTTGACGGTTTCTGTAATTTATTTCCACAGTATTACACTCAAGTGAAGGTAAATTGATTACCAAACCCTCCAAGTGCCTTTCTTTACAAGTTCTCTGACAAAACACCTTCGTACAAGCCGTCACAAGACTGTCCACTGTAACCAACAAGCAGTGAAGGAAACACCTCTTGGGAGGACCGAAAGAGTAGATATATGCCATATCTGAGTCTATAAGAGAAAATTTAAATACATTTTACTTTTGTGTAAGTGTATTTTAAAGCAGAAGTGCACTGTTAACAGGCTATCAGCACTTGGAGTGCGTTTTTTACACAACAGCGATGGGATATTTACAATCATAGTGGACAATACAACAAGCGTTTAATACTCAGGAGATCTTCCAAGAACAGTTGTGCTTCCCAGTTCCATGCACATGGAAGGTGACGTTGTAAAAAGCTAGACTGGCCACGTGCACCGGTTGACAGAGTTAGCACTAAGACTATACACCTCCCCTTCCACTGAGGGCAGGAAATTCCAGCATTTCCCACAGATCACAAAAACGAGCCAGACTTTCACTGAATGCTGACAGAAAGAGAAGACTCAAAAGATTCAAACTTTCTCAATTACAAAACACAACAGCTTACTAAGCGTTCTTCACCCTCCTGTTCATCCCCACGCCTCAGTTAAGGTCAACATGTGATCAGCAAGTACATCACACGTTATCTAAAATCATTTTCGCTTGAAGTCTAGAGGAGAAAAAATTGCTGACCAACGTAATATACTTAAAGGTTGGATAAATCACATTCATCCTAAATTTTCCACCCACAGTTTCTTTGTATGACTGTACTGATACGACATGTCAAAAACATTACAAGTCTGTGCACTCAGAATCTCTAAGCAGCTATGTAATGTGTAAGTGGATATGGAATTTATAATCTTCAAATATAAAACTACCTTCAGCTTGAGAACATACCAGATCTGTCCAACTTCGTAAGTGTTACAAAACTCTACCATTACAATCTCTTCCATTTTATTACCTAGGTTCTAATTTCACGCAAAAGATTTCCCCTTCCATTTAGGGCAGGTGAAACGTATTTCAGATCTATCAGCTCCTACTGAAGTCAGTGGACATTTCCGTTCCTGTGAAGCTGGACAAGATACGCATGCAGTAAGCTTTGCCACGATAATTTCACCCTCTGACACCATCCTATGAAAGGATTCTTTGTAGTTGAATCCTTGTCCTTAAAAATAAAAGCTCACTGATGGGTGCCACAAGAATTGTTCCTGTGCAGGTCACAACAGGACCAGCTGCTACCTAAGGGGTCACAGGCAGAGCACTTTTCTAACTCTTTTGGCACCTAACAAGTCTGTGCCTCTAAAGTACTGGGCTTACCAAGAACACAATTTGGTCAGACATCTTCACTGCTGGATTTCTGGAGTTCAGATGGAAGGGATATTTTAGTGACATTAAAAAAAAAAAAAAACTCCAAAAAAGTAGTTTTCTTGCCACAGTGCTTGCAATAGCATACATAAAATAGGACAGACTAGCCTTTCACAGAGATTCATAACATTCAGAATAGGACAGATCAGAGCACTTCCAACAAGACCTTGTAGCCTGATGACTTTCTGCTTATCTGAAACAATCTGATAAAATTAGTAGCTTATTTTCATTACCCTCCTCCCTACCAAAATAAACCAGACCTTCAGCATGTCTGCTTCCAGTCACTCACAGTAAGAAATATAGCTTGCTAGCACACGTTGTGATCCAAAAAGCCCAGTAACTTCATTGGTGTTTGGAAATCTGGCTCATCAGATACAACTATTAAAGTTTAATCAAAATATTATGGTATCATCTTCACAAGATGTTAACACTGAATCAAAAGTTGGTCCAAAAGTGAAGAATACTTATCACCCCTTCTAAGGAAAGGAAACTTCAGCACTACTTGACTTCCTCCTTTATGAAGTAAGGAGACAAATCCTACATTTGACTAAAACCAGAGTAAATAACAAGTGGCGTAAAAGAATATAAAGCCCCTTGATATCTCTAGAATGGTGATACCTCATAATAGAAACATTTTTCATTCAAATAAATGCAGTGCTGTAGATGCTAGAAGCATGGAAAAATCTAAGGCAGGACCCTTAACTCACTTTAAAATTTTGAAGAATTCAAACCAAGTATTTAAAGAGACATGGATAGATGATCACATTTTGTGAACATTAAAGCACTTTAAGCAAAGATGACAGGCATTAACAGCCAGTTACAGGAACTTAGTACATACCTCCGATATAGTTGTTATGAAGTGTTCTACAGTTCAACAAGTAGCATTTTTTCCACAATAAGGCTTACATAACAGATCTTTATTTTTTATTCTACATGCATGTTCTTGCTATCAGACATTTAGAAAACATGAGAACACGGGGAGACTGCCTACAATAGGCATCTTTTAGGCACATCTAAATATATGTCTACCCTTGATTACATATATCAACATATTTCTATAATTTCATCTAATGCTATAATTACAATTTGCAGAGATTTATCAGGCAGACAGCTACTGAGTGACTGTTCGGATCTCCTTTTGATATGAAACAATATTTTCATTAGATAACTCAGCATGGTATTTTAACAGAAAAACTGTTGAATGTCCATTCCACAGAGGAGATTTCATTTTTTGGTAGCTATTTTTCATGTGGCAGGGGGAAATGGGGGGGAAAAAACAAAAGCATAGTTAGCCTGCTGAAATGTTTTTGTCCAAATTTAATTATTGATGAATACACTGAGTACGTTTGGCCTCGTATTTCTTTAATCGCAAAATGTTAAAGTTAATACATAGCCATAAACAGTTAAACAGTTACTGCTTTGAGTTTCAAGATCTGCTCTATCACAAAAAATGTGCTCTTCTAGGAACAGCTGCAAAAGATGATCTGACTTTGCTTGACCCATGCAAAAATAAACTACGACATTCATACGTAAAATTTCTCACAATTTTTTAATTATTACCATATTACATATGGAAAGTTCAAATTTTGTTCATCTTGGAAGACTCTCATTATTTCACAACTAGTAAAATGGTAACAGAGCCAAAAGTTGACCTTTAGAAACAGTGATGAATTTGGCTGAATGAGAAGAGAGGTCAAGGCTAGGTCAGTGACACTTAGTATAGCCACTCACTGCCCTCCTCCACCCCTTTTAAAAATACAAAAAAAACAGCTTTATATAGCACAAAAGAGTAATTTCTCTAAAAAGCTGCATTTAAGCTCTAGAAAGAAAAGCAACCCAAAGCATCCTGATTTAGTACTCAGTTCGCAGTCTCTCTCTTCCCAACAGAGAGCTGGTTAAAATTTCTAGACTTTCTTTTCTTTATAGATTTCACAGCAGCATCCTTACTTCAGGTAACAAAATCCTAAGGTCACCTTCGCTTTCCTAAACTCAACAGCTGTTGATCCTCTCTCACTAAGCCTTTTCCCAGATTGTGGGTGTGTTAAAATTAGAATGGACTACTTTGATTTCAAAAAAACATTCCCACTTCCTGGTGATCTCAAGCATACTTTGTGTGACTCTCATTAATTACAAAATGGCATATCTCAGCCATCATCTAACATAAATACCTGACCCATCAAATAAAGCGACATAACTGAACCCAAAGATTCAAGAATAAAAACGGCCCCAGATGCCCTTACTCTTCTGCAACCAGCTTCAGAGGCAACATATGGACGCATGCTCTTCACTTGTGACCTTTCAAAACAATGCAAAACGCTTACTATTCAGACTTGCATCTTCCGATGTGTTTTCCCTTACTCTAGGGTACTCTAATCAGCACCAAAACAACAACAAATATAAGAATTAAAAAGCAGAACAGAATTTATCACACAATGGAGATGGATTCTGCTAGACAAATGTATCTATCTTTCCAAAAATTTAACTATTTTCCTTTTTGAATAAAACATTTTAATATGCTGTTAATACGCTGATACAAAGGATAATACTCACAATTGCTTATAACTCCTCCAAGTGGATCACCTTTAAAATCAAACTCAATATCCATGTATTTTCCCTGTGAAAGCAATACATTTCAAGAATTTAAATTCTGTTTAAGAAAATGTTAAAAGTTAGTTGGTCATTTTTGCAGGGTAAAAGAGCAATCTGGCAATGTCTTGTATACTCTGTTAAATTTTAAAAAGCATGCTCAGATGCATAGCCTGTAAGATAATTTCATTTCCACAGCCAAAGATTTTCATGGCAATTGCTTTAATCAGGCTTGTAACACAACCCAATAATTTGCTCGCTTTGTAAGGATATAAACAATTTTGATGCTATTAAGAACAAGTATGTTATACAAACTTTCATCAGTGAGTACTAACAGCACCAAACAGTACTTGTGGCCATTCGGGTATTACTATACTTACTAATGGAAGAATCCAAGAAGAAGCAAAAGTTAATTATCTTCCAAGCAGCCTTGCTTTCTAGCTAAAACCTTCTAGGAGGGTGAAGAAAGCAAGTACTGACATAATAGCCACTCAGTTTATATTTAAGAACTGTTTGGCAACAACTATTTTTAGTAATTGCCTGGTGTATGTGCGTAAGCGTGCATCCACCTTGTGAAAGTGATGTTTTTTTCCCCTACTGAACTCTCTGCCTTGTAACTTGGGAGACCAAAGGCAACAATTAACAGATCGCCACCGCAAAAGCAATTTCACTTTTAGCTGTACTGGTGCAGTGCGTTTCCTTGACTTCTGTTTGACCTTTCCACATCACAGAAGATCATTCTGGTCTTCGCATCATTTTAATTTATATGACAAGCGTTTAATTTACTAACAGCTTCTTTTAACAATGACAAAATGGACAGACCCATAGTGAGTGTAAAAGGCAAAGGCAGCGCAGCTCATACTGGCGAGAAAGTTTAGGAAGATAAGAACTGCTGGTAGTAATTCAAACAAGCTCCACAAACCGTGCACAAAGATGATCTCAGTGTCCTCTGGCGCTTATTTAAGAGGACAGAAACAATCAACTGGAAAGGGAAGCCTTGTGTTTATACTTCCTCATTCATTGTATTTAGGAAGAGATTTTTTTTTCTTTTTTTGATTTTTATTGCAGGACACAAAAATCAAGCACTTTATATTCACTATCTCAAAGATATTACCTGATTTACTGGGTATTTTGTCAGGATTGGCCTTTAAGCTCCTACTTAAACTCTATTCTTCTCCTTGCTGGCAGCTGAAGCAGACTAGATAGAACAGTTTGTACTTTCTGGTTAATTCTGAGCTGATTCAAATTTTTAAGATAAAAAATTAAATCAGATAATTAAATTTTAATTTCCCAAGGACTGAGCCAGTTGGACGTTTCCAAAACTATTTTTAGCTTTGTATTTATAAGCAAGGTCTTGAAAGGGGAAATACTAGTTGGTTGCACTTTGTCCTGGAAAGACTCTTGTTTTCAAAGCCACCTCTTCTTTTCTTTGCTGTATCCTCTTCCTTTCCAAAGCACGTCATTCATCTCTGACAGCTGCATTTTTTTTCTACCCTCTTTATCAATAAATTTCTCTGCAGTCTTCAACAGTGTCTCAAATTCTGGCCATGACCTTGCTTCCCCGAACATGTGGGATGTTGCGGGGCCGGGGATAACACCCTTTACTCAGGCCACGAGCCAGGGCAGTGACAGCTGCAGCAGAAACAATAATATCAACCCTCGAGAATCACAAAGGAAGGGGAGAAAAGTCTGCCACGCAGGGGAAAAAAGCCACTCTCCAGTGTTAATACATGCCAGGCTTTTATCCACGGGCTTTTACTTGCAATACACTATTTTATGAGTGTACTAGTTTGTCTTCTGCTGTCTCCAAATCTCAGTCTTTATGACTTTGCTGCACGCAAGTGAGCAGATTACGAAGTAGCGTTCTAGCTTCTGATTTTAGCAGGAGAATCAATGACAAATACTCATGCTTTTGAATCTCCCAACTGTAGCTTCATCTATTTCTTTTGCCAATTGTCAATTCCTATAATTTTTCATTGTTTCACATTAAAAAACAGGTTGAAACTTCATATAGATAAAGAAAGAACCTGAATTGAGTTTTTAACCAAAAAAAAGTATACATATAAATTGAAAATGAGAACACATAGAAGGATAAACTTGCTAAGTAGACAAGTTGCTAGGCACATTGTCTCTGACAAAGCCACCAGTGCCAGAAAATTAAAAAAATCCAGCTGCACTGTAATTATGTTTTCATTTAGTCACAGACTGGTAAGCTCCAAAATTTGGCTTGTTTTACTCAACATTGATTCTCAACAGAACTTTATGCGCACATCAGAAACAAATAAGATTTTTGACAAGCAAGTCAGATATGTTTTAAAAATGCGAGTAACTGCTACTAATGAACTACTAACGTGTTTGGGAAAGAGAACACACGTATATATGTACAAAACAAAACACAATGCTACTGACCACTACGCTTCTCCAAACTCCAAGGCCTTCAGATAACTACAAAAGAGTTCTCTATCCACAATAATTCATTTCTCACAGAAGCCTAATGGCTGGTGTAAGGTGAAAAAGAAAGAGTCAAAAATATAACATTCTCTTCTATAAGAAAATCAAGTTCAGCCTCGAACAAAATACTTACAAATCTAGAGGAGTTGTCATTCCTTACAGTTTTGGCATTTCCAAAAGCTGGCAGGAGAGGAAAACAAATAATAAGAGTGAAACTATCAGTAAAATAATATTTAAATGCTAAAAAGTTATGACTTGTTTATGTAAAAGAATCATAGATGTCCAAGAAGCAATACTCCATTTGTAGCAGTTATCAATTCCTGGGGATAGAGTGAGACTATCACAAATGAGAAAACACCTTTGGAAGTCCAAAGCGGTTTTGCGTTGACGCTTCCTTTGTTAGAAAAAGTGAAAGAGAGAAACATACAAGGTAAAACTGTTCCAAGACAAAACCGCACCTGAATGGAGCACATATCCTTGGGTTTTGAATCATCACACTTAACAATTTTACTGCCTAAACAACTGTAAATATAAGAAATACTAAGAACCATTTCTTTCTCTTCAGGAAAAGTTCAGAGAAAGCAATGGATCTTAGCGCTCAGAACAGAAGGTGAAGAAAGACGGAGGCCAGAACTGAAGAAACTACAGAAAGACACTTAAAATTTGTTTGCATGGGAACGTTTTATGAGTGCTTTCAAACTGATTTAGTTGCACCATTCCAAACATTCATTTTAGCTTAAGCTGAACATTAATCAGCTGAAATAAGTCTAGCTTAAAACTCTCCTCAGCTCGACCTACATTTGCTTTTTGAATAAAATTTGGTTTAAATTTCTTTAGCTCACGTTTTCTGACAATAAAAACTCTCCGAGAAAGGACTCTGCTGGGCTAGGTTCAGATAGGCAGTCATGAGCTTAGAGCACAGCCGTGACATGAACTCAGACTGTGGGACAATTCAAGGCCTTAGATTACACATTGTCAAACTGGAGTGTCTCCTCTGGATTATTAATAGCAGTACTCCTACTCCCAACAGGAGACTTTGATTATTTATCCCAGTATTTATTTATATATCTTACATATTTTCAAAGATCAAGTCAATGTTTTTTGGGTAGAAATAAATACATGCTTTTAGTCTTCAACAAACTTTCATGAGTAGGCTTATTCTTGACTGAAGAACAGAAGCCAAAGGAAAAGTTTGTTGCTCCTGAAGGCCAAGGATAAGTGACAGAATTGTTTTTAAAATCTCTATGCCCTGTAATAAATCATTTTTTCAACAACCAAATCTCTGAGCTGCATTTTCTTAAACACAGGGCTAAACAGTAGAGTCATTTATAACTGCACAAAATCAAATACAAATGTTCCATTATATAGCAAGGCACATTCCTCAGTTTTCCCTGAAGTTCACTGTTTTTAATTTACAGTAGCAACTACATAGTTTAAAAAAGAAAAAAGAATCCTGTAAGATAAATTACACATATGTAATATTCACATAATTTTCTTGCACTGCAGCTTGACTGAAACAGAACTATGTAACCAAAGAAAAACACATTTAATCACAAATGCTTAATTTCTCTCTAAAATGTATATAAGCAGCCAGGTCTGTGCAGTAACCTCATGGAATATACTTGTGTCCTGCCTCTCAAAAAGCTAAATAAGCAGTTACCACAGCAGCACCAAACAGAATGAATAATAACTTAACATAACAAGACGCTATTCTGTGAGCGCAGTGTACTCCTCTTATATTAAGAGAAGGATTCATGAACTAGTATGAAATCCAATAAATCTGGCAGTCTCTGGGGAGTAACCTAGGTTTAGCTATCGAAGCCTCTGCACGTCTCATTCCATTTCTGCCTACACCTGAGGTCTGCCTTGCAGAACAGTGATAGAAACGACCTATAGCTCTTCTCTGTGAATCAGAGGTGAGGACAGACTGCAACCCCTCCATTCAGCGGGAAGTGGAACACATCTGATCAGCACAACAGACTCATCCAACATTTTGATTAGTCTTAAAATTCAACATTTTGTCCTTTCTTTATAAGTCTTGGCTTCTTACAACTTTTGCATACAGTCAATGATCACATTTTACCAGGCCAGTTAACAGCTCTCAGCTAACTTTAGCTTTCCCTCCCTTTTTCAATTTCTTTTCCTATTGCCAACTGTATAACACATAGCATACTTGCTCCCCATAGACTCCAAATCCTTGGATATACATATAGTTTGTTAAGTAATAAATAAAACATTGACACTTAGTAGTCTTATAAACACTGCATATCATCTGGTTATAAAACACAACTATTGTATAGCAGTTATAAGAATTAGTCTTAGTACCACAATAGCTTAGAGAACTGTTGGAGAAAACTGAGCCAAGAATCAATACAACAGACCTAAATAAGTCAACTAAGGCACTTCTCAACACAATTATTAGACAATGGGACAAAACTGCAAGCTTTGAGGATTGCACATCCTATTTCTAGGAAAAAAAATGAAAATTCTGTTCTGGATCCACATCATATTAAAAAGCATAATTAAAAACAACAACAACAACAAAAACCCTAGACAATCATGGGAGAGCAGGAAAGGCAATCATCAGGAAGACAGACTGACAGAATTGAGTCTCTCACCAGACCCAGGGAACACTAAGTCTTAGGGAACAACAGGCACGCATACAGATTGTTTTATTTTTTCCCAAGATGCATTTCTTCACTTTTTTTCCTAAAAGAAAAAATACTTAACAGAGATTGTTTGTTTTCTAGAGACTATAATAATATATTTCGGAAGGAAATGAATCACGGAAAGGGAAATAAAGTTAAATCTTTTGATACATTCAAGCACCATAAACACTGCGTTAAGAAAGACTACACTCTAAGAGAGCAGCAGGACGAAGCTGGGAAACACGATCTAACTTCCTAAGCTCTCACATCATGAGGGAGGCAATTTTATTTTTAAGAAAGCCTCTCCATAACTGAATAACTGTATATTCTTGTTACTGTCTTCACATAAAGCATCTCCTATGGTTTCGGACGTCAAACAACAATGAAACAGCAGCAGATTCAGATTTCAAAACAAGCTCTTTAGGAAAACTGATACAACCAGAAGGCAATATGGTCCTACAAGATCTGTGCAAATCTTACCTTCAAGCACTGGATTGGACTGTAAAAGCTGTTCTTTCACTTGATTGACCTCTGCCCCTTTTCCACAAACTGCAGCTACGTATGACATGACAAGTTTGCTGGCCTCTGTGGGGTGAGCGCAAAATAAAACAGTTTTAAGTATTGGCAAATAGGTAATAAGAGGATTTGGAGGCTTGATCTCCCTTACATTTTCATTATGCCAAACAGGAAATGTAATCACATTTCATTTTGGTTTTCTTTGTGCTATTGTACCACCTGGAAACGACTAAGGATGTCATCCTGCCATGGGACCCATGCAATTACAACAGTAGATGAATGCTGAGCCCTACTAGACTTAAAATCTACTGCCCATCAGAGCTAAAAAAGCCACCAGTGCATATGGGACATTTTATCATCTAGTCTGAATAAGAGACATCCAATAAGGAAAGGATATTATTTCTAGCTGAGATGTTAAAGATCCTTTAATTTACCCTAAAAAAAACAGGCCCAAGCTTTTTAAAATACAAAAGTCAATCCAGTTTATAACAGCATACACACACTCACACAAGTGTAAACACAGAACAAACCATGCTACACACATGTAATTACAACTCTAAAGTAAGCTACAAGTAAATAAATAATCGTAATTCATGGTCACATAAAATTATATAATACCTTTCAAAGTATAAAGCTGAGAAAAACTGAAGCATTCATGTAAGAAATGAAACTAATTTATATGTACAAAATTTCAACAATCTGAGACAACTTTTGGACTCACAAAACTGGGTCCATAGTCCATGTCTATCACTCATATAGACAGTAAAAAATATCAAAAAAAAACTTTAGGCTTTTGCTGATTAGGAGAAAGAGCAGTCAGGAGATTTTATTTATAAACAGTCTCTACGATGTTTAATATGATGCAAGAAAGCAAAATTTGAGGCAATATCAGCTGATACAGAATGTAGTTGCTAACAGCTGGAATCCTTATCAACGCAACACAATGGTAATAAAAAACCCATTACTTGCTTTTCAAAGATCTCCTACAAATTTAAGAGTTTCAAAGAAACCTCTCAGTCACCTTTTGGAAAGAACTGACAAACAAAAAGTTATCCCTTGGATTTTCATTCTTTCCTATTTAAACTTTTTTTTTTTTTTGGCTAGTATTAAATTACTAGCCTATATTTAAGGGAGAAATGAGCAAACCCACAATGTGGGACACAAGTAAGCAGACAGAACTATAGATGTGACCATAAGATCTCGCATCTCACTTAATCATGCAATTACTCAAACCCAACTCTCATTTTCTAAAATCAGTTCCCTGTTACCCTAGTTTTAGTCAGAGTTTGCAATTATCAAAGCAGTCAAAGTAGCGCATAGGTCTGAAACACCTGAATTTCAAACTGGACTATTATGTCTAACATGTACTAGTCTGGGGAGGGACAGAGAGGTCAGAGCTGTGATTTAGCCTGCAGCAGAAAGGGCAGACATAGCAGGCCTCCCAAACCTAACAGAGAATCCCCTGATTTTAAATAAAAGTCAAGTAAGATCCCTTCACTCCAAAGGGAAGTGAGCACTCATCTCTCCTGTCTTTCAAACGTCAAGGGCATAGGTCTAGTCTGCAATGTGTCCCTCTTCCAGACTGCATCAATTAGACCTTGCGATATTTCATGCCTTTTGAGATTAAACTGTTTATAAAATTCCTTAGAATTCTGAGGATAACTGGACTGCTTTTAAGATAGCCATTTTCTTTTCCCCTCCATGATCCTTTAATAAAAATGATGAAATTTTATGAGGACTTTCTTCATTGTGGATTATACAGAGAGACAAGGAAAAATAGTTCGAGATCCTTGCGGTGTGATTAAATTCAGATTTACCTTTTAAAAACATCAAATCCTTCTGTAAGCCCTTTTTTCAGCTTAAACTGGAAGCAGAAGCAGCAAATCCCTAAACACAGGGGTGCTTTATTTGGTTTGCTATCTGAAAGTAGAGTGCAACAAGAGAGAAAGAGGGGTGCTTTTGGATACGTCTGTTTTCAACAGCCCATCCTTTGAAACCAGGATAGAGCAGTGTGGCAAGAGGAGCACTGTAAGCAAAGAGGCTTTTCTCTGCCCAGCCTCTATTCTTCATTGAATTTAGACAGCTGAATCTACTCCAGTTCCTTTCTTTCTCCTCCTAATCACATATATCTGGAAAAAATATTTAAAAACTATTCACAGATCTACTTGAAAAGGTAACCAAGATACTTCAGATTTTTAGTTAACAGCATCCTCTAATCGATCTCAGCTGGTTTTAAATTGGCACAGTGGTTGTGAGGAAATGGTGAATTTTCATCCCTGAAGACAGACAACTAAGGATGCTGAGAAACTCCAGCTGATGTGCAGCAGCAAGAGGAGAAGAAAACTCTTCTGGTAATACCCAGGAGTTACGGGTAATGCCCAAATGTTTCTAAACTATTTGATTCGACATATTTCCCAAAACAGTCAACATCTGCAAGGAGAGCTACTCAATTAACACAAGAGAAGAAAGCACCGAAGCAGCAAATAAGCTATTATAAAGTCATATGCATTAAGAACACACACAATGACATCAGGATAAACCCAGAACTAAAGTAAAAGGCTACCAGAATATAAAGCTAGAAAAAGGCTTTGAACATTGTTGAAAGAGAAAATGAAGGCCCTTTCTTTTATTGGGAACTCTGTTTTAACCTACAAGCTTGAATGAATACACAGGAATGAAAACACCAGGAACTAAATCATCATTTAAGATTCAATCTTAAAGTGTAAAAACACTTAAATAGACTGCTCATTCTGACAACCTACCACAGTTTCTTGCCGAGTCAACAATCGATATAAATATGCAGTGAAACGAACAAAATTAGAAGCAAATAAAAGCTTTAAAAAATTGATGATAGTCCAGGTTCAATTTTTCCAGGCCAAACATGCCACATCTGGCCACCAAAATCATATTCTAAAACAGCATTATATGGAATTTGTGCTTCTGAGTTTATTTCCTCAACTAAGAGCCCTTGCTTTTCCTGTCCCACCCCCCGCCCCCTTTTTTGTAATGGAAATCTTTGTTCTCAGCTAATAGCCCCATATGAACAACCGTAGTTATATTAAACATTAGAAAGGAAGTATCCGAGATTCTGAGACCGTTATTGGCTTGAATTTCAAACTGTACTCTTACATTAGCTTTGTTATTCTGTACTTGCTTTTATAAAAAAGAGAAAAATTCTTATTATATCCAATATGGAGGCTACTGAACATAATCAGAATCTATATTCAAATCAGAATCTACCAGAATCTCCTCTATAAATAGACAAGTTGAGAAACTCAGTCACTGCTATGCCCTTCAATTGAAAAAAAATATATTAATAAATATGGGCCTCAACTGTATGAGGTGCTTGATAATTCATGGTTCCTGGGGAAATCAGGAAATTAAACCATCAGTATAAAACTCCTTTCTAAAGTTTCAACTCCTGGAAAAAAAAAATACTAATCATATTAATAAAAACTCAATTATTTTAATATACACTTTCACTGAATATACATGCTTTTTCATATTATTGAACTGAAAATAAAAAGAGGAAGTAACAAGATTTCAAGACTTCTCAACTGGAAGCCACTGATCTGACAAAGAAAAACAGGACATCATTCACCAAAAAAGGTGCCAAATCCATTAACTTCAACACTCCAAGGACAAGGTCCCATACTTCGCATTTTCACAAAAGGCTTGTAAGGCTTACACACTTTTAGTCTTGCTCAGTAGCTAGCAAGCTACTAGCAAGCTGTAGCTCAGAAGCTACACATTTTCTCAAACGCAAAAGAAAATCTCTTAAATGACATGGAACAGATGTACGTGTTCTTACCTGCTGTGTCTTTTGCAAGTCACCTCTACTCCTCTACCTTTTAATCTGTTATTCAGAAAATAAGAGGTTTCTTTCTTTTTTAAGAACTTCCTACAATGTTCTGCAATTATGTAGTCTTCACGTCATTCCACAGTTCCACAGTTTAAAAATTAGTAGTAATTTTCAAAACAATTTCAGTTTTGCCTGAGAAACAGAGTGTTCTAGTACACAAGCCAATATCAGAATTGTAGCTGAACACAGCATGCAAGACTGATGAAACTTCCCACGTAATCAACTGCTACTGTGTATTTTATTTGGATAAACAGCATAATCCAGTTAAAATGTATACATTTATTAAAAGACATGCAAAAGCATCAAAGGCTCGTCGTCCAGCCTAAAAGAGCAAGAGTTCAGTTTTCACTGTCTTTGCATACTCCATGGGGAGAGTCTGGAAAGTATTCTGGCCCTTGCAATACTCTATCACAACCCAGCATTACTGAAGTATGACTTTGCATACTAATAATGATATGGTATTAACATGTGATAGGACTGCATCATGGTGAGGATGCGGGACAATACTAATTTATATAAGGTCACACCTGCAGCAAAAAATATGACAGCATTCATTTTCTGCAATGGCCAAACGCAAAAAGATACCACTATCCCACAATTTTTGCAGCCTCTACCATCACTTTCTAAAAGAGATCTGAATAACTTTGAATGTGTTTGAGTAAGACCAAAACTGTTTATTACCTGTTTTTCCAGCTCCACTCTCTCCTGTAATAAGGATACACTGGTCTTTGTCCTGGTCCCTTAAAGACCTGTAAGCTTCATCTGACAGAGCAAAGCTGCAAAGTAAGAAAGAACAAATACAGAAGTCAGATAAAACAAATACCAACAGTAAATATAATCTGTCCTTCACATCCAGGTAGAAAAAATATATACATCTAAGCATGCACAGTTCTGTACACGTTTAAGCGCTAAGTTTTCAGAATGCAGGAGCAATAGAACCAAAATCGATACTTTTGCTCAGTGGCTTATTTAGACTTACTCCAGGAACAAGTCAGCAAAATCCAGCAAATAAGTTTTCCTAAAGATAGCAAGTTTAAAACAAATTCACAAAATGTCAATGAAATTGAAACAGCATTCTTCATCAAACAATAATATTATATTCTTTATCAATCCATTAACGGGAAGCATTCTGTTCGACAACACTTAGAAAAACACGGCTGGAAACAAGAGAATTCTGAAAACTAAGAATACCATAAGCTGCAATTTCTGCTCTGAAAAGTAAGAAGAATTTTCAGAGCTTTACAAAATAGTGAGTGTTTTTAAGCTTTTGGGGGTACTTTTGGACTTCTGCATAAATATGCAGAAGTGTTTTCCAATGAGCGTATGTATGACACATTCAGGATGATGTCAGGTAGAGAAATTAAAGAATATAATAAAGAATAAGCAGCTTTCCTGCACCAAAAGTGCCTTTCCATAGAACTCAGAACATCCTGAACATGAAATTACTGGGCTGCAATTTGAATCCAAATGACCTTTGTTGCCATGAGGCAACATACATTTTGAGGAAACGTGGATGAATTACTTATATTTGGCTTTCATTATTTGTCATTTTTAGTCAGAGGAAAAGCAGTATTGATTTCATATCAACTGCATTTTTCATTTTATGGAACAAAGCACTCTGGAAACCCAGCACTAGATTCCCTTTCAAAAACAAGTAGTATCTGAAACCAAAATCCAAAGAAAAGGCCATGTATGCATTATGCAACTTCAGGAAAAAAAAAAAACTGTTAACAAAAAATGGCATATTTTTACATGAAATAAGCATCTAATCAGTAGACCGGGAGCTCTGTTAGATCACCACACCTAACGCAATGTTCAGTGTTCGTGCATTAAGTTAGACATGGATATTGTGTATTATTTATAGTAAATAAACCATGGATGAAAACTGAGTTTTGCATTCAGCTGATTAACTTCAGATAGATTAAGTATTGTTTTGAATAACGTAGTCACACAGTGCTGTCACAGGCAACCACAGCTCCTTTATAAATGAGCAGCTCTGTGTCATGAAACCTGTTACAGGGAGCATAGATAACATAACGCAAGCAGTGACCCACACAGAGCCTCTTCTAGGCCTGATGCCACAGCTTGAAAACTTCAAATATTAAGCCCACATGTATTCCAGTTAGCCTGTACCTATTTATTTCCATGCTGACATTGCTCCTCAAGCTCAGACAGTTGTTCTCCCTTCTGGCTGCTCTTCTTCAATGCAGTTACAGACAGCAACTCATACTCTCCCCCACGCTTTGTTATCAAGCCCATGTGCAACACCATGTATACATCCTCATCTTTCATTAGCTTTGGACTGCTCTCTATTCCATCATATTTGCTTATTTGTTTCTTGTTTATTTTATTTAAGGTTGCATCATGGCATCAGCTCAACAGATCAGCATACCAAGTGAGTGCTGTTCTGCCAAGGTAGGAAAATGGAAACAAAAAAACATCTAATGCCTCCTTCACAGCTACCTAATCACCCCTTCCCTCCCCCTAGCAGCCGTCATAGATACCACATGCCCCTGATTTCCCCACGTGCTAGATCCCTCCTGTCCTCTCCTGTCCGTCTGTCTGGTCACCAGGGCTACCCTGGCCTCCAGCCGCTTCACTACTTTCCTCCCCAACCTGCACAGTCTCAGGAACTAAACGACAGCTCTCGTTTCTGCATAGACAGTTGAGCTGTCCTGTTTAATCACCAAGATCAAAGGTCGCTAACTCCATTGGATATATATATACACAGCACTGAACTAGAATTAACTCCGATCTCTCAAAACTTAATACTGGTACAGTGATAGGAGCATTTGAACTCCGTAGTTCAACTGGAGGTGAAAATGTGTTTACAAGAAAGTAGTAGGCTCTAATGTTTTTAGCATTACAACAAAGTCAGTTTGTGATATGGCCAGCATGCTGGAGAACTAGCAATGAAAAGACTCTTCTGCTGCTGCTGAGAGATCATGACACAATTTTTGGCATCCACTTTACTGTCCGGAATCCAAACTACAGTAGCAATAACACTTTACCAGACTCTCTTACAGGACATATTTCGGAAATGAATAATATTTGTTCAAAGCTGCTGCAGATATACTTGTAAGTTGAAGACTACAGTGCATGGCACTCAGAAAAGTTAATTCCAGCTCGTATTACATAACATTCACCACCATCCTTTTTGCAAGACAAAAAAGCAGTAGGATGTAGAGGAAAAAAACAGAATTGGACTGAGCATTTATGGGCCACATGAGGGAATATTAATACTAATGCTGTGGTTTCCATGGGTTTGTTTCAGGAAGCTGGCTCTCACCTTGAAGGTAAGACTCTAAGTGAACTTATAGACTTGATGGCTTATTCTGGACCTGCTGTCCTTCACACAATCTCAGCCATCAACTAGTATTTTTACAGTTGAAACAGCTTTCTTGGCAATAGTTTCACATCACAAAATTAAGTCAGTGGTAAGCCCAGGGAAAGCATTCTCTCCTTTGATATGCTGAGTTAATCAGCTTACTAACCGTTCATCTCTCTTAACACATTGAATTTTCAATTTCTGAACAGCCAATATCAAAATATATTTTAATGCTTGATATATTCATTAACTTCGCGTGCCAGCACTGCACAGTTAAAAACACCAAATCATCTCCTTTTCCCCAGCAGAGAAATGGAAAGTCCAACGGAAAGTTGGAGGAAAGATGGGATTTTGTCCAATCCCACTTTTATCCACTCTAGTCAAGGATGTTTTGCATACATTGTCTTTTCCTCCCATCTTCTACACAGTCCAGCAAAGCCTAATACTTCTGGAGTATATCAAAAATTATCTGCTACCAACACAGGAAAAAAAAAAAAGTAAAGCTACAATCATTCCAGAAAAATTTTCATGTATGCATTTATAAGTTTGCTGGTAGAAGTTTGGTAAAATTGACCTCTGATGTTCCATCCACTGCTCCAACAACTCAACTCTAGGAGGCATAGTCAAGAACATATTTAAGTAATGCAGTGTTTAAGATTTCTTTGCCTTTGTGACAGTACATAAACAGCATCAGTCATTTATGTCAGAGCCTGGAACAGATATCTTTATTTCAAAGAAAAAGATAGGTTGAATCATTCATCATGTCTATTTAATGGCACTCCATTACCTCACAGGCCTTCAAATTTATCATCATCTGTCTTTGTAATAAGAAAAAAATAAACTTTTGACTCTTTTTCAAACTTTGCCCTCTGTTACAAATATAATTCCATGGTATTTCCTATTTGTTACAAATATATAAAATAATTTAATTTCAGATCATTTTAGTTTGACATATTTTAATGATCTGCAAACCACAAAGAATTCTTCTTTTCCTCCTGGTAACATCAACAGGCGCAGCTTGGTAAAGTCAACATTTACAACTATAGGTTTAAACCACATGCCACTCTTTGAGCAGCCTTATAATTACAGAGCTTAAGTAAAACTTTAGAATAGTTCCTCCTTTAAAAAGCAGTTATAAACCATATGTTTCAAATTAGTTGGTGTGTCAGCAGTGCCATTTACCACACCTTATTATAAGTTCTTCTTTCATTTTTAAGTTTTCATGAAAAAAGACAACATTATCCTACCACAACAAGTAGAAATATTTACTGGAACTCTTTTTTAGCTGAGATTTAAGTATAGAAGCAATTTGAAATCTAAATGCCATCCCCACCTGGATCAGGAAGAAGGCTGTTTTTATGGGGTCAGCTTTTGTTAGCCACATAGTTTTTTGCAGCTAGAGTTGTCACAGAGAAACAAAAGTCCTTACTCGGAAACTCTAACACAAAGGGAAATAGCACATAGGCCTCCCAGGGGGGTTTCCAAAGGGCTCTGGCAATTTTCAGCAGCCCCACAGCACCTCTCTGCTCTAACCAACCACTGGGCTCAGGAAAAGACAGGAAAAAGACAAACCCGCACACAAATACCCCAACCATCAACACTTCATTTGAACACTCAAGATTGCCACCACTATGTCAAGGGTAAAATCCATGCTTTTGTTTTCATCAAGTCAGCTCTAAGAATAAACTCTTTTCCACCACCCTTTTCCTTGAAGCCAAAATCATGAGAATGAATATTCCTTTGCTACGGGCACTTCTTTCAAACAACTTCCTTATCATTTTCGTTCTTCCTGTGACTTCCTTTAACATTCTCCATTAACACTCATTAGCTGATACCGATTTAACCTCCCTCCAACTGCTTTCCTCGCACACTAGCGCTGTCAGTCCCCTTCATCCCATCTTCATTGGCTGTTGCTTTTCGCTCTCAGACTTCCTCAATTCCCATTTGAAAACATCTACTGCTTAGTTGGCAAGGCCTGCAACTCCCACCTCGTTTGCTACTTCCGAAGGAAATACACAACCCCTTCCAATACCTCTGTAATCATGAAGCAGAGCCATAGCACCACTTCATTTCTACCTAACTGTATCTGAACACATTGAGAGGATATACTGTAAGTCAGTGCTTTATAATGGCATAGTCCATACCATCCTACCCTAAAAAAGTCAATGAAATTTAATTATGTTAATTCTTTCAATAATTTAATTCAGAAAAGCATTATTTATGTTGCTTCCTTTTCTTTATGAATACATAGAAGTGCTCTGTAAGAGGATAAAAGCAAAGAAATTAGTTTCATCCTCTTCAGTATTCTAAAACATCAGAATCACAGTTTGCTCTGGTATAAAAAATTCCTAATAATCTGAGACTGAAAAAGTAGCAGCACATTTTATGAACCGCTTTAAGGTTTTATTTTGTAAGTTATTGCTATTTGTTATTTATGTTTCCCCTATC